GCAGAGATGAGTCAGGCTGGTGAAGAGTCACAGCTGTCTCCCCCTCCTGCTGCGACAAGCTCCCTTCTTCCTCATCCCCCCTGCCTTCCAGAACCAGAAGAGGGCTGAAATGGGCAGAGCAGTCTTGGCAAAGGATTTTTATGGGATAAGACCTACTGGGCATGAGCTGTTGCGCTGTGCTGGTCCCGGGGGAAGGTTACCGTGAGGCGTGGTCAGAGTCCGGTCCTGGGTCGGGGGTCTGGAGACTGTCCACCAAGAGGGAAGCGGGGTCCAAAGCAAGAAGCTGGGCGTGGTCAGGAACTCTGGAAGAACAGGTCTGGGTCTGGCAGAAACAGGTTTCCAATGACGTTGCTCCCGCAACCTGGGACTGGGCTGACTGGCCTTTATCTCCTCTGAGGCCAGGGGTGGTCCCGGCCCACAGGTGACTCGTCTCTCCTGGCCTTAAGGCGAGCACTCCTCCTGAGAGAACTTAGTTCCTTCCGCCTCTCTGCCTTGAGCCTCTGCAGCTCAGGAGAGGCTGGAGGGTTAATGGACCCAGGGGCAGCTTCACCTTCCCCTGGCAGGGCTGGGAGAGGCGCACCTGCAGGCAATGGGTCCTCAATCACCTCCGGAGCCAGAGTGGATACATTTGGTGTCTGCTCCTGAGGATCTGGCACAGGTGCAGGCCCTTCAGATTCAAGCCCCTGCCCCGGCTCAGCCGGCCCTGGAGGCGGGGACTCCTGTGCAGGCTGGCACTCCTCAGGTTCAGCTTCTGAATCAGACTCCCAGGCCAGCACATGCGCTCATTAGGCCTGACACTCAGCCGAGTCTGTGGAGATCCTGTTTCTGCTAATAAAGAGTTAAGTTTGACGTTAACAGTGTGATTTACTGCCGGCTCGCTCTCTGACAGCCACTGAGCTACGACCCTTCGCTTAATGGAAAGGGAATTCTTAATGCTGGCCCTTCAGGCTGCTGAGATAGACTTTTGCTCTGATCTAGGAAGGGGATTATTCTGGGAAAAGGGAAGGGTGGGATCTCCAAGGCACCACTGCTGCTGAGAGATCTGTTGTGATCTCTCTTGAATGCAGGGGAGGTGGTTTGTGTGACTTTCTCCCTCCCCTTTGCTATTTTCCAGTAACGTGGAACACGAGGAATGGAAAAGTGCTTTGTACCTGAGGAGGGTGAAGCAGCTGATACAGCTGATCAACGCTTTGTTTTTGGAAAACACCCCCTATATATAATTAAATCCGCTTTTAGCCTGCTTCCCTATCGACGTGTCACAGGGAGAGGGGAAAACAACAACAACGCCTTATCAGAGTCGGAGATGACAGCATCTTCCCAGGGGAAGAGGTGGGAGTGGAGAAGAACGAGAGGACAAAAATAGAGGCAAGAAGTAATTAGTCACAAATAATTCACAGCAAGTCTCCCCTACCCACCCACCCACTGCCACCAGTCTTCCAAGTCACTGAATAGATTCTGAAGGGGGGGGCAGGATTGGAGACAGGGCTGGCCCTACCATTAGGCAGAGTGATGCAGCTGCTTCGGGCGGCAAATGTGGAGGGGTGAGTGCATAGTTTGCAATCTGCCCTAATCTAGAGAGAGCCCTCTGGTGCCGTGTGGGATGCTGCCACAATTCCAGGGTTGAAGTAAGAGCCAACTGGCAGGCTTATTGGGAATAGACACAGGCGGGTGTCATCTTGTCCTCTGCCTCAGGCAGCAAAATGTATTGGGCTCCAGGATGGGAACAGCCTAAACAAAGGACACACAATGGCCGTTGAAATGCATTGGTTTCCGGACTAAGAAATAAACAGTGGTACCTCGGGTTATGTTATGTACTGAGTTGAATAGGATCCAAACTGCAGCAGTCTGATTGGTCCTAGAACAATAGGATTCAGAATGCAGCAGTCTGATTGGTCCAAGAACAATGCAGCAGTATGATTGGTTGGCAGGAACCACCCAATCATGCTCCAGATATAAGTGAATCCACAACCTGATTGGCTTACAGTAGAATTCCAGAATTAACCAATCATGTGCAGCCCATTGTGTAAATAATGTATATAAAGCAGATACTTTGAGGGGACTTTCATTCATTCCTCCTCACCACTATGAGCTGAATAAAGAGCATGAAATCACTTTGCGACTCTGAGTATATTTCAGGTTACAAGCACCTCGGATTACAAATGCTTCGGGTTACAGACTCCGCTAACCCGGAAGTAGTACCTCGGGTTAAGACGTTTACCTCAGGATGAGAACAGAAATCGCATGGTGGCAGTGGGAGGCCCTATTAGCTAAAGTGGTACCTCAGGTTAAGAACAGTTTCAGTTTAAGAACGGACCTCCGGAACGAATTAAGTTCGTAACCAGAGGTACCACTGTATTGGATTTCTAAAGGGTTGTTGGGTTGTATGATTGAAGTCAGGCTGATTGGTTGCTTACCTCAGTGGTTTTCAACCAGTGGTGTCAGGGCACCCTGGGGTGCGTTGAATGAAAGTCAGGGGTGACACGGCCAACACTGACCTCTGCCTCTCTTTCCTTCCCTCCCTCCTCTGATGCCCTCTCATGTCCCTGCCTCCCAAAGGCTTGTGTGACTGTTTGTTGCAGCAGCCCTGGCTACAAGCTCTGCAGGCGAATGGTGCCTCTGGGGCTGGCCAGGGGGTGCTGGTTGCCAGGAGCTGAGGCAGCCTCGGAATAAGCAAGCAAGCAGGCGAGGGAGCCCAGCCAGCCCGTCCACCAGCCCTTGCTCTTGGGAATGGAGAGACAAGTCCCAGGCCCCTGTGGAGCAGTGTGAGGAGACACCTCTCTTTGGAGCAGTGGGGGGCAGCTCAGAGACCAGGGGTGGCAGCAGCGGCTGCCCAGAGGACTCCCAAGGAGAGGGGAGAGGAGGCTGAGGGAACCCTCCACAAGGGAAGGTGTTCAAAAAGGGTGAGGGGCTTCCTGCTCTGTAGGCAAGGGTGACATAACTGGGCTCCTGAGCCCCACAAGGGTGCCACAGAAAGAATGTTGTTGGTCAAGGGAGCCGTGGACTCAAAAAGGTTGATAACCTCTGGCTTAAAGGTAAAGGGACCCCTGACCGTTAGGTCCAGTCGCGGACGACTCTGGGGTTGCATGCTCATCTCGCTCTATAGGCCGAGGGAGCCGGCATTTGTCTGCAGACAGCTTCTGGGTCATGTGGCCAGTATGACTAAGCCGCTTCTGGCGAACCAGAGCAACGCATGGAAACACTGTTTACCTTCCCACTAGAGCAGCACCTATTTATCTACTTGCACTTGACATGCTTTTGAACTGCTAGGTGGTCAGGAGCTGGGACCGAATAATGGGAGCTCACCCCGTTGCGGGGATTCGAACCACTGACCTTCCAACTGGCAAGCCCTAGGCTCAGTGGTTTAGACCACAGTGCCACCCGCTTACATAGTGATTTATAGGGAATTCTCACTGTTGGGAGTAACGCCTCAACACCTTCTATGTGCGCTGCATTAGAAGGATTTTGGGTACCACACGGCAGGACAGAATTCCAAACAACAATGTTCTCTCCCAAGCCTACATGCCCAGCATGTTCACACTCCTGTCGCAGAGACGTCCACACTGGCTTGGTTGTGTCCACAGAAATGGAAGATGGCAGCATCTCCAAGGCTGTGCTCCACGGAGAGCTGGCATCAGGCCCCAGGCCTGTTGGCAGACCAACTCTACTCTTCAAAGATGTCTACAAATGTGACAAGAAGGCTGGCAACATCAACCCTGCCCCTTGGGAATCCTTTGTGGGCAACCTCAGTGCCTGGAGATGGGCAGTCAAGTCAAGAGCCAGTGTGGTGTAGTGGTTAAGAGCGGTAGACTCGTAATCTGGTGAACCAGGTTCGTGTCTCCGCTCCTCCACATGCAGCTGCTGGGTGACCTGGGGCCAGTCACACTTCTCTGAAGTCTCTCAGCCTTACTCTTCCTTGCCTTCTTCCTGGAGAGATGCCACCTACTCAGCTAGAAAGAACAATATTGTGCTCCTCCTGGAGTAGCTTGTCCACCTTTGGCTCCCCATCCCAGACTCAGCTCTCACCTGTGGCTCCTAGAAGCTGCCAGCATGTGACAGCGGCCATGGGAAACGGCTTCAGCTGGCCGGCTAAACCAGGAGAGGGTAGCCAATGGGTCTCCAACCCTCAATGAGAGGGATTTCCTCAGCATGCAAAGACAGGCTCTGGCAGATTGAGCGGACAAGACCAATAGAGCCAGCGTGGTGTAGTGGTTAAGAGCGGTAGACTCGTAATCTGGTGAACCAGGTTCGCATCCCCGCTCCTCCACATGCAGCTGCTGGGTGACCTTGGGCTAGTCACACTTCTCTGAAGTCTCTCAGCCTCAGTCACATCGCAGAGTGTTTGTTGTGGGAGAGGAAGGGAAAGGAGAATGTTAGCTGCTTTGAGACTCCTTAGGGTAGTGATAAAGCGGGATCTCAAATCCAAACTTTTCTTCTTCTTCATGTGCTCATAACAGTGACCAGAGGAGGGATGACTGTTGGGAGGAGTGCAGAGAGAAGAAACACCATGGTGCATCTGCAGAAGCACAACCGTACGCCTTCATCTGTCCCAGCTGCAACAAAACATGTCTCTCCCATATTGATCTCTACAGCCACAGCAGGTGCTGCAATCTTCCAACAGCTTGAGCTCATCCCCCAAAGGCTCACTCCTCCATTGCCTCCTGAGATGGATGGATGCCAACAGATCTCCCCCTCCACCAGCACCCCAACTAAGTCCACTTGGTCTGGAAATGGCCCACACAGGCCACACCCCCAGCAAGAGTGTCGACAGAGTACATGGTTCCAATTCATTCGTGGTTCCTTTAATACTTTTTCTTAGCAAGGGAGCAGATCTTGGGAGAGGACAGGGCTCAGTTGGGCTGCATAACTCCAATGGCTAGTATGGATCTGTCCAAGGTCCTGCTAATTTTTGAGTGACCCAGCCTACCAGATTGACAGTGATCAAGTCAACCGCATGCCTTTAAAGCACTCTGATACCACTGATAACAGTCGGGGCTTACCCCGAAGAATCCTGGGAACTGTAGTTTGCTAAGGGAGCTGACCTCGCCGACCTACAGCTTCCTGCGCCCTTAGCAAACTACAGTTCCCAGCATGCTTCATGACTGTTAAAGTGGTATATAAGTGTATTTGGTGGATGTGACCTGAAAATTAGCCTAACTACCTTGGACTGAGTCAGTCCATCGCCACACCACCTCACAGCACCCCTGTTGGCTTCTGCTAGCAGTCAGGACAAATTAGCACCCATGCTCTCTCACCATTCCTTCTAGACTACTGTATCGTGTTGCATGCGGGGCTACCCTTGAAGACAACTTGGAAATTATAGAATTGTAGCTTTGGAAGGGACCACGAGGGTCATCTAGGCCAAGCCCCTGCAATGCAGGAATCTTTTTTGCCCAGTGTGGGGCTCGAACCCACAACCCTAAGATTAAGAGACTCATGTTCTACCAACGGAGCTATCCAGTAAAAAACAACAACCCCACAGGAGCTGGATTACTAACCAGGACTATTAGCATCTAATACTGGTCACACTGTTTGGGCACCTGAAGCAGGAAATCCCACAAGGGCCTCCCCCGCTTCCTGGTGGCACAAATAAAACATGAAATGACATAACAACACAACACCCCAAACCAGCTGCCTGAGGTAGCCACATCCCTCTGCCCAACGGTAGGGCCGGTTCGTAGGCCAGAATGCTGTGACATGTGATCCATGAGAGGCAGTCAAGTACAACATTCCTTGTAATGCCAGAGAAGACATGCGAGGGAATGTTTGGTCCAGCCAGTCGAAACTTCCTGTTCCTCCTGGCTGGAGCATCCTTCTTTTTGCATGTGGTAGAAGGTGGGTGTGGCCTTACCTGTCCAGGTAACAAAAGGACGAGTCATGCAGCACCCCTCCCTTCTTTTTTGACTTCCTTCTTTGTTTGACCAGCTTTTAGCTAGGACTGCTCTGCTAGCTCTCAGCTAGCAGAAGCACTGGGATTATTCCCCCATATGGGGTAGATCCACATGTACATATTTGTAACTAAGTCTGCCTTCAGGAATCCAACTGTGAACTGATGTGCGTAAACTTCTTTTATTGACTTTGAATAAGATTGTGGCGTTTTTATTCTTTTAAGAGGTATTCAAGGGAGCTTACCAGGAACGTACAATTCAATCTGAGACAGATTGAATTGTATAATAGTGAGAGGCTCACACGAGCCTGCAAGCAGCTACCCACTGTGCATAAAAAGGGCTGGATGAATCCCAAACCGGAATTAAGATTGCCGGAAGAAATATCAACAACCTCAGATATGCAGATGACACAACCTTGATGGCAGAAAGTGAGGAGAAATTAAAGAACCTTTTAATGAGGGTGAAAGAGGAGAGCGCAAAATATGGTCTGAAGCTCAACATCAAAAAAATGAAGATCATGGCCACTGGGCCCATCACCTCCTGGCAAATAGAAGGGAAAGAAATGGAGGCAGTGAGAGATTTCACTTTCTTGGGCTCCATGATCACTACAGATGGTGACAGCAGTCAGGAAATTAAAAGACACCTGCTTCTTGGGAGAAAAGCAATGACAAACCTAGACAGCATCTTAAAAAGCAGAGACATCACCTTTCTGACAAAGGTCTGTATTGTTAAAACTATGGTTTTCCCAGTAGTGATGTATGGAAGTGAGAGCTGGACCATAAAGAAGGCTGATCGCTGAAGAATGGATGCTTTTGAATTATGGTGCTGGAGGAGACTCTTGAGAGCCCCATGGATTGCAAGAAGATCAAACCTAAGCATTCTTAAGGAAATCAGCCCTGAGTGCTCACTGGAAGGACAGATCGTGAAGCTGAGGCTCCAATACTTTGGCCACCTCATGAGAAGAGAAGACTCCCTGGAAAAGACCCTGATGTTGGGGAAGATTGAGGGCACAAGGAGAAGGGGACGACAGAGGACGAGATGGTTGGACAGTGTTCTTGAAGCTACCAGCATGAGTTTGACCAAACTGCGGGAGGCAGTGGAAGACAGGAGTGCCTGGCGTGCTCTGGTCCATGGGGTCACGAAGAGTCGGACACGACTAAACGACTAAACAACAACAACTCTGCTACATAAAGGAACTTGCTAGCGCAAGTTAGGAAGGATATTAATAAGCAATATATCCTCTTCTGCCACCCTGAACATTCCCACAAATGCTTCAGTCCAACACTCAAGAGCAAGTAGTTTGGGGAAGGGCCGCAGCTGAGTGGAAGGGCACCTCCTTTGCATGCAGAAGGTCGCAGGTTTAATCCCCAGTATCTCTAGGCAGGGCTCTGTCTGAAGAGCTGTTGCCAGTCAGTGTAGACAGTACTGATCTATATGGACTGCAGATCTGACACAGGATAAGGCAGCTTCCTCTGTATCGGCCTTGCTTTCCGGCAGCAGTTTGGCTGCTCCATCTTCCTTTCACAGACCTCAGAGTGAGCAGGCCCAGGAGACCAATGTTTTCTTGTTTGCGCTGTGCCAGCCTTGTGTTTTCTGACCCTGGATTCCCAGGCAGCTGGGAACAAATAGCTCCTAGTTACGCGCTGGAGCGTCTCGGATTGTTTCGGCTGTTCCCATTACACAGAAGGCTGCACACACATCGCGGCAGTCACGGTAGGCAGTGCCTAATGCACAAACTTCAGAGAGCCCAGGGTCCCAGGGGAGAGTCCTGTGTGTGCTCCAAGGTTGCTAGTTGTGATTTAGTCTGCTTCCATTCCTCCTTCAGGCGACCCACACGTAAGAAGGCAACTAGCTGGTGCACATATAGCATTCTTCGGGGTCTGTCCATCTCCAGCACTCTCGGCTCCAAAGCAATTTGTCCCTGTTAAATGCAGGGATGGAGGGCTGTTTCGTTGTTGGACTCTGGACGCCCATCAGCCCCAGCAAGGATGGCCCATGGTCAGGAACGATGAGAGTTGTAGTCCAACCACATCTGGAGAATCGCAGGTTCCTCGCCCCTTCTGTCAAGGCTGCAAAGTGAAGCGGAATGAGAAATACAGGGCAGTTCAGATAGCTCAGTCAGTAGAGCCTTAGCTTCTCAATCTCAGGGTTGTGGGTTCAAACCCCACATTGGGGCAAAAGATTCCTGCATTGTGAGGGGGGGTTGGACTAGATGACCCTTGGGGATCCCATATATATATATTCTAATTTACATTTTAAAATATTCCTTTAAAGGTAAAGGTAAAGGGACCTCTGACCATTAGGTCCAGTCGTGGCCGACTCTGGGGTTGCGGCGCTCATCTTGCTTTATTGGCCGAGGGAGCCGGCGTACAGCTTCCGGGTCATGTGGCCAGCATGACTAAGCCACTTCTGGAGAACCAGAGCAGCACACGGAAACGCCGTTTACCTTCCTGCCGGAGCGGTACCTATTTATCTACTTGCACTTTGATGTGCTTTCAAACTGCTAGGTTGGTGGGAGCAGGGACCGAGCAATGGGAGCTCATCCCGTAGCGGGGATTCGAACCGCCAACCTTCTGATCGGCAAGTCCTATTTTTTTTTAAAAAAAATGATATTTATTAAAGTTTCAAAGAAAAAATTACATAGATAAAAAGAAAAGAAAAAGAAAAAGAAAGAAAAAAGAAAAAATACAAAATACAGAAAAAAGATAAAAAACACTTTAAAAAAAACACATCGATCTTTCCATAACTTACATTTCATTTCCTTACTTCCCTGACTTCCTCACACCTCCCTTTTTTGTATTCCAGTTCTATTAGTTAATTCAGCAATTCCTTTCCCTCTTTGTTTTTGTCTTAATCCTTTAACTTAACATATTATAACTTTAGATTCTCATCTGTTAACAATCCATTTGTACATACACCTTTATAACATTGCTGCTAAGACCACTTAATTTCATTCTGACATCATTCTAACATTCATTAATTTTGCAATATTTCTGTAAATAGTCTTTAAATTTCTTCCAATCTTCTTCCACCGACTCTTCTCCCTGGTCTCGGATTCCTGATCGGCAAGTCCTAGGCTCTGCAGTTTAACCCACAGCGCCACCCGCGTCCCTTTAAACAGCCTTAAATCCATGACTTTCCTTCTTCTCTTTCCGTGGTTCATTTTGCATACCACACATCCCTGCACATTTGACGTGAACTAAACCATTCAGTAATCCATGGTTACATCCATCAAAACTTATTTACACTATTGAATTTATCTTACTGCTACCAGCGGTTTTAAATAAACACAATTTTCACCCATATATTCAGTAAACATTTTTTCAGTCTTCTTTAAACGTGCATTCTTCTTGTTCTCTTATTCTAGATGTTAAATCTGCAACCTGCGCATATTCCATCAGTTTAAGTTGCCGTTCTTCTTTGATTGGGACCTCGCTCGTTTTCCATGGGGTTCCTTCCAACTCTACAATTCTGTGATTCTATGATCTTAATCTTTATTACATCTTCACTTGCAAGGCAGTGTGGCCTGAGTTTGCTGGCTGAGTCCAACCCCTGTGCTGATTCTGCCCTGGGATGAGAGCCAGCTTCCCTTCTCATCCGTAAACGAAAGAGATTATTTTTTATGAGATTCGTGGTTGTACTAAATTGGGGTTACCCAAGTTGAATTTCACAACCTGACCTCTGATATTGTTTCTTAGAGGTTGTGCCCAGCAGGTGGCAATAGACTTCCATCGCTGGATCCCCATTTGTTTAAACGAAGCCCCACCACCTTTAACCATTTACTGTCAAAAAAACCAAAGAACCCGCCACCCTGGCAACTGAATCGCCAACTATTCGTATAGATTAACGCTGCGACGTTGCTCTTCTTCCCTAAAATAAATGATTGTATTGATTGTATTGAAAAAGAGAGACCGGATTCTTGTATTAAGGCAACGACTCTGAAGGCTACAACTAGAAAGAAGAAGAAATAAAACAACCTTAGTCATGTCTGGAAACCCCCCTCCTCCATTTTTTATTTTATTTTATTGATTTCAGGCCTAGCATTCCAAGCAGCACCACAAAGCTGCGCCTGGCGGCCATTTTAATTTCCCACAATGCCCCAGAAGTATTTCTGCTTTGTGGGGCATTGTGGGAACTTAAAATGCCAGCGATATAGGTCCTCTCTGTTAACTGTTGGAACGTCTAAGGGATTATGTACATTATTGCAAATGTAGCAGGGAAAAGAAACCCGACATCAGCTCACATTAACAATCAGAATAATCCATCAACCATCCTAAATTAAGCATATATATTAATATGAGCAGTCCACATATCCAACCAAATATCCAAATGAAACTGACGATTATAAGATCAGTTCAAATAGAGGCACCTCCACTAAAATCAGTGGGGTCTTGGGAAGGGGGCAAAATTTGGGGGGGAAAGAGATCAGGTCCCCAGAATGTGATTTACACACACACAGGTGTTAAAGTGACTGAAAGAACCCAGAATGAATTGAAGAATAAATGTGATCAGGAAGGAAAGATGAATTAGTTCAGACTTACTTAATTTACACTTCCTGAACCACAACAGGTCCTGAATCACATTGATTTTTCAAAACTGACACACCTCTGAATGTTACAATTCAGTCCTGCACCCCAAACTGCAGATATTTGTAAAAATAAAATATAAAAACATACAAAAGCGCATTATATTAGGAAGAATCATTTCCCAAACTGTGTATGTAAGGCAAAGATGCATACAAAACATGCATATTAGAGCTGCGCATGAGCACATGGACAGATTTCCTAAACAAACCATGCAGGTTGGTGCTAAAGCAGGACAAACTGAATTTTATGGTTGGAAAAATGAGAAACTGACCGAAGCCAAAGGGAATGGATTTTAAGCAGGATTTTATTTTGCAAATTATCTCTAAGCAGGATTTTATTTTGCAAAGTAAAAAGTGCTGGGGCTCTGGGTTGACTTAGAGACAACTATGCTAAAACCCAAATGTGTGTGTTGCGTTTGTGTGTCGGGAGGGGAGATCTGGCTTTTCCAATGACAAGGGCGCACCAACTCTGCACGCAGCCAAAGACTTGTGTGTTCCTTATCATTTCACAAAATCTCAGGGCTGTCCGTCCGAAACGGGTGCTGGGGGCCGAGCTTCGGTAAGCCCAGGCTCGATTTGAAACCCTGCTGTTGGAGGGTCTCACCGCAACAGGCGCCCGTCTTGCAGGAACCGTGCCGGGAGGAAGTGTGGTTTTTGCCGCTGCCGTGTGTGTCCGTGGGAGCTATTTGGAGATGCGGCCCCACCCTCAAAGGCCATGATGGATGACCAGGCTGGAGGATAAAAGGCTTTCCTCCGAAATCGGCTCTGCTAAAAATAAACCATGGCTGGCTTTCATGTGTCTCGAGACCTAACTGAAACCAGCTGCCAGGGGGCAAATGCGGCCTTTTTTGCTGCTGCTGTTGCGAATCAAAAAACACTGCAAACGTCGCATAGGGGCATGGAAGTTGCAGAAATCGGATGGGTGAATGCGAGATGAGTCTAAGTCTAAGACTTGGCAGAAGACTTGTGAGTGAGTCAGGCCCCCTCTCTCAGGCAAGGAAGCCATGACCCAAGAATGGCGAAGCTGGGGCTCTGTAGATCAGGGGCCGGCAAGGTTTACCATATTTTTTGCTCTATAAGACGCACCAGACCATAAGATGCACCTAGTTTTTGGAGGAGGAAAACAAAACAATAAATAAATATTCTGAATCCCAGAAGCCAGAACAGCGAGAGGGATCGCTGTTCTGGCTTCTGGGATAGCTGCGCAGCGTCTACAGGGCAGCAGGATGATGGCTCCCTGTGCCTTGAAGAGGCTTCGTGCGGCTAAGCCAGAAGCTAGAACAGCGAGAGGGAGCGCTCGCAGCGATCCCTCTTGCTATTCTGGCTTCTGGGATAGTTGCACAGCCTGCATTCGCTCCATAAGACGCACAAACACTTCCCCTTACTTTTTAGGAGGGAAAAAGTGCATCCTATAGAGCGAAAAATACAGTACCTAGGCTGGTTCACACCCGTGGAGATCCCTCCGTGGCCTGGATCGTGTGTGTGTGTGAGCGTGTGCGCCCGTGATTTCCTGTGTCTGTGCAGATGCAATTTCCTGTGTCTGTACAGACGCAATTTTCGGCGTCTGCGCAGACGCAAGTCCCCACACTGCACTGCACCAGTTTAGCGCAGTGCGCGGGGGTTCGCCCAGCGGGTGGCTCGGTTCAGGGGTGGCTCGTGGGCCAGTTAAATGACCCCCGTGGGCCACTTGTGGCCCATGGACCTAAGGTTGCCGACCCCTGCTATAGATGTTGCTGGACCCCCCCATCATACCCTTGTTTGTCAGCTGTGCTGGCTGAGGTTGGAATCCAACAATTCTTAATCTCAAGGTTGTGGGTTTGAGTCCCATGTTGGGCAAAAGAATCTTGCATTACAAGGATTGGACTAGATGGGCCTGAGGGTCCCTTCCAGCTGATTCTGTGAGTGAAACACACACACAACTTATATACACACATATCTTATATATACATATGCACACAAATTACTGAAAAATAAAAAAGTACAAAATTACAAGTGCAGAGTAAGATAAGATACAAAGAAGAAGAAAGAAGAAATACAGTGGTACCTCAGGTTACATACGCTTCAGGTTACAGACTCTGCTAACCCAGAAATATTACCTCGGGTTAAGAACTTTGCTTCAGGATGAGAACAGAAATCATGCTCCGGCGGCGCGGCAGCAGTGGGAGGCCCCATTAGCTAAAGTGGTGCTTCAGGTTAAGAACAATTTCAGGTTAAGAACGGACCTCCGGAACGAATTAAGTACTTAACCCGAGGTACCACTGTAGTTCCAATTTAGAAAACAAAACAGTGCAATAACAACAAAAAATAAATTGTGTACATTACAAAAAAAGAGAGGGGGAACTTGTTATTGTAGGTAACCAGACCTTAATCTAATATGGTATTTATAAAAATCAATTCCAAATACAGTCATACCTCGGAAGTCGAACGCCTTGCGACTCAAACGTTTTGGCTCCCGAATGCCGCAAACCCAGAAGTGAGTGTTCTGGATTGCGAACGTTCTTTGGAACCTGAACATCTGATGCGGCTTCCATGGGTTCTGATTGGCTGCAGGAGATTCCTGCAGCCAATCGCAAGCCGTGCCTTGGTTCCCGAACATTTTGGAAGCCGAATGGACTTCCAGAACGGATTCCGTTCGACTTCCGAGGTACGACTGTATCGTTGAAAATTGTCTATGGCAAATCTGCATTTGTACACAACTTGTTCGTGTGTAGTGAAACATCTGGGAAGATACAGGTTTCCCCAGCTGTGCTATAACCACTCATTCTTCTCTCCCTCCACCAGTGGAGAGAAAAGTTAATAGGAACACAGGGAGTTGTCTCATACAGAGTCAAACCATTGCTCCATGTAGCTCAGTGTTATCTACACAGTGGGTGGGAAAACCTCGAGTTCACAGGCCTAGTTTTGGCTACCAGGCCACCCCTATTTGGCCTGCGAGGCTGTTTCCCCCAAGCCAAGTCAACTCCCATCAGCCCCAGTAAGTGCAGCCGATAGCCAGGCATGATGGGAGTTGTAGTTCAGCCATATCTAAATTCCCCACACCTGTTGTACACCCCACACATATGTACACCCCACCTTTTCTTACACAGTTCAAGGCGGGTTCCCAAAAGAGCAAAACACAACAAGCAGCAGTAAAAGCCAGCAGTAAAACGGCTTAAAAGCCACTGCGCTAAGGAGCATAATAAAACAGAACACAATGCCAGAGCCAAAACCCAGAAGGATTGTGTATAATTATGGGTTGGCGAGCAATAAAAAACCCAGCAGCCAATGCCCTTTCTAAATAGGGAGGCCTTAATATTGTGGGGTAAAGAGAGAAGGCAAGGCAACTTTGCCTAGGAATTGAGATTGAAAGAGTGGCTGCCGGAACAGCAGAGGCCCTCCTCTCATTTGTGGCACCTTGTTTGTTAATTTCTGTGGAAATTTATTCACAGCTGCGTAATAAATGTACAGAAACAAGGGGAAAGTACAGCGGTACCTCAGGTTAAGTACTTAATTCGTTCCAGAGGTCTGTTCTTAACCTGAAACTGTTCTTAACCTGAAGCACCACTTTAGCTAATGGGGCCTCCTGCTGCTGCCACGCCTCTGGAGCACAATTTCTGTTCTCATCCTGAAGCAAAGTTCTCAACCCGAGGTAATATTTCTGGGTTAGGGGAGTCTGTAACCTGAAGCGTATGTAACCTGAGGTACCACTGTACATTTAAAACGGTTTCAGGATTCTGCATTTATAGACAGCGAAAGGGAAGCAGAGCAACGAATGTGCATGTTATCTTTGGACAGTAGGCTGGTTTCTCTGCAAAACCCCACTCTGTCTTGCATCCAGGCTGTCATGATCAGAATTCAAGGACTATTAGAAGTCCTAAACATCTTCCAAAGCAATAATGCCCACTCACATCACAAAGAACTCATAACCCATCTACTCTCAGCAGCCAGAAACATCATAGCCAAACACTGAAGAGACCTGTCAGGAGTAAGCATGGACCAGTGGTACCAAATAGTATGGGAAACAGCCTTACGAGGAAAATTAACCAATAAACTGAAACTGACACAGGGACAAATTGAAGAAGATGCCTTCACCCTGGTATGGCTCCCCTTTATCACATACACAGCCCAACAAGACAATGACAAGAATCCGCCTGCAGCATACGAATCAATATGGCTGACCTGATTCAAAAACACCCCACACTCTCACACACAAAAAAAGTTCACCACAGCCAACCACAACCAACCAACCAACCAACCCCACCCTAGGCCAACCCCAACCTCTCTCACCACCAAAGGAGCACAAGCGATTAGCTTCCCTTTTTTAAAAGGGAAATTCTCTTATTCCAAATAGTATTCCTCACAAGAAAAGGGAAAAGTTGACAGCTATGGAACCCGCGCAAGCGATGCTGACATAAAACTCCACACATACATTAAGTAAAATAAAAGCATCGCCAACCGACCCCACCCACCATCTGGGCCGCCTTACCCATAGGCGCTAAGGGGTGTGGGGCACCCGGGTGCCGGGTTCTCAGGGGCGCCAGGCCAAGAGTCTGGGGCTGAGATTTGGAGTCCGGGGATTGGGAAGAGCCGACGGCCGCTGCCGAGTGGATCAGAGCCTGTCGGAGCACTGCAGCTCTACTGCTATGGGCGAGCGAGGCGCTGAGGCAGCCAGCCGGCTCCGCTCTCCTGCGCACCTGGGATTGGCGGGCCATTGAGAGGCATGCCCAGCGCACGCTACTCACACAAGGCACCCGGCTTTGCTCAGTCGCCCCTGCCTCCGCCTTGGGCTCGACCGTTGTTGTGCTGGGCTCTGCTTGCCCACCCGTCCCCAGGCACCCGGCTCTGGCATTGCTCTGCTGTTGCCACCGCTCTGTCGCTGCAGAGGCGGCCAGCCAGGCCAGCTTTGCTGTGTGCGCCTTGCTGGCCCACCCGTAAAAAAAAGGACGACAACTCTGGGTAACGGGCACCGGGCGGATCTCTGCACCCTGGCGCCGCATATGCTTAAGACAGCCCTGCCCACCATGGTGCCCTCCACCTCTTTCCCCCTTTTCTTCCTAATGTAACACTAATGTCTCAGCAAATGAAAATGAGACGTAGAAAATCTAACTTGAAAAAAGAAGCATTGCACATACTTTTGTAAACCAATAAATCTTTAATAAAAAATATATTAAAAAAAGAAGAATTCAAGGACACATCCCAGCAGGGCAAACGACTCAGGGGTGGGGTACTGGAAGCAAGGGCAGTGATGGGCGTGGCCTGCTTAGAGGGGGTGTGGCCTGGGAAGAGTGCCAGGGGCCGGAGAGAAGTGCCTGAAGGGCCGCATTCAACTCCCAGGCCTGAGGTTACCCACCCTTTTGGGCTTCCCATAGGCAATTGGTTCGCCACGGTAAGAACAGGCTGCTGGAGTTGGAAAATGATTTATAATGAATTGAAAAAAATGTTTAAAATTACTTTTGCAAAAAACAACAAAAAAAAAACCCCAACCAGAGTCCTTTCTGTTGGGGTTAATCCAGGCCGAAATTCTCAGGTGTCAGAAAAGGTTATTTATGTATGCAACAACTGCAGCCCGTGTTCTGTTAGCCCCAAAATGGAAAACGAGTGAGGTCTCAACCAAAGAAGACTTAACATATGGAATAAGAGAACAAGAAGAGGATATGTTTAAGGAAGACTGGGAAATGTTTCTTGAATATTTGGGAAATAACTGTGTTCAGCTGAAAACGCCGGCAGCATTAAGATAAATTCAACAGTGTAAATAAGTTTTGATGGAAGTAATAATGGAAAACCGATTGGTATAGTTTTTGTAAAATATGCAGGGATGTAAGATATGTAAAATGAACCATGGAAAGAGAAGAAGGGAAGCCACTGATATGTTAAGTATGTAAAATGTTTATCGGAAATTGTAAAACAGAAATTTAAATAAAAATCGTATTTTTTAAAAAAAGACAACAGGCTACTGGAGTGGATGGGCCTTTGCATATCACATTGTGTATAATAGGAGAAATTCACATTATTACTATTTTTATTCATACCCCACCTTTTTCCGTGACAGGGACTCAAGGTGGTTTACAGATAATGCTGATTAATTTTCATGAGGACTAAAATAAATGAATGAACGAATTACATACGGATATGGAAATATGAGATTTGAGACTGGAAGAAGAAAATGAGAGCTTTCTCACATCCCCGGTGACCTGGCCATGGCCTTTCCCCACCAAGAGACAAGATGTACTTCTGTTTAAACTGCAGTAAAATGTAAAGGTAAAGGGACCCCTGGCCATTAGGTCCAGTCGTGGCCGACTCTGGGGTTGCGGCGCTCATCTCGCTTTACTGGCCGAGGGAGCTGGCGTACAGCTTCCGGGTCATGTGGCCAGCATGACTAAGCTGCTTCTGGCGAACCAGAGCAGTGCACGGAAATGCCGTTTACCTTCCTGCTGGAGTGGTATCTATTTATCTACTTGCACTTTGACGTGCTTTCGAACTGCTAGGTTGGCAGGAGCTGGGACAGAGCAACAGGAGCTCACCCCGTCACGGGGATTCGAACTGCCGACCTTCTGATCGGCAAGTCCTAGGCTCTGTGGTTTAACCCACAGCGCCACCCGCGTCCCTTAAATTGCAGTAGCCCTCTCTAAATTTGCATCGCCATCCATGAATGAGCACCTGCGCACTAGACGCAAACGAGGCAACGGGATGATAGCTCGGTCAGTAGAGCACGAGACTCTTTATCCCGGGGCTGTGAGTTCGAGCCTCATGTTGGGTGAAAGATTCCTGCATTGCAGGGGGCTGGATCCTTGCGGCCACTTCCATCTCTACAATTCTATGGTTCCATGGAATCTGTGTCCCCCACGACATTCACTTCAGCTCAGCCTATGAGCAGCTGGACCAGGAAGAGGGCAGGCATATTGGTCGGTCCTCGCTTGCGTAGGCTGTTTGCATCTGGCTCCGACGGTTGGATCCACAACAGGGGAAGGGGAGGAGGAGGAGGACCTGCTTGGAGCCTCCATCCCCGCATCTCTGCACGCTTTGAACTCCAGTCACCCTCTTCCTCTGTAATTAAAGCTTTATTTTTAGGCACCCCTTCCTTCTTCTATTTTAAGCCCAGCAGCCTCCTCGGCACAAGGCAGGGAAGGGAGCAGCGCTGAGCTGAGCCCGCGGTGGGCAGGGAAGGCAGAGCAAACGAATCTCCGAAATGGAGAGTGGGCGGTACCAGCAACCGCTGGCAGGGAGCCCCAGGCCACAGTTCGGCCGACAGGACTTTGCTGGGGAGCCACCGCCAAGATGGAGGGGGTGGGAGGAAGTTGCCCAGGGCTCTTTTCATCCAGAGAGTGGGCACTGATGGAGACATATCTTCTGTTATCTTACAACACGACGGAGAGAGAATTATAGGATTGCCACCTTCTTCCGGGTTTCTTTTTTGCTTACTTGGGCCTAGCTTATTGGCTTTGAAAGAGCAGCCTGACCAATACCAGGCTGGCAGGGACGCTTTTCCCTGGCAGGACGATAAGCCACAGTCGAAGTTTCGCTTGCAATATTCTGGGGCGTCGGGTTGCTGCTGAAAGCACAGCAGGAAGGTCTGTTAAAAGAAATTAATAGGTGGCAACCCTAGGAAATTGACTGGCACCAAGGGATGCTGTGCTGGCAGGGTACATTCAGGCCTATTGTTGTACCTAGTCTACCTGAGATGCTCAGCGTGTGAAAAGGTTTGAGCTGGTTGCTCCTGCTCAGCTGCATGGCTCTCACTAACCCCTCTTGAGTTCCTACACCAATAAGCTCAGAAAGTTCACCACTAAGCTACGTTTTCTACTGCCTGTGCAACTTTTCTGGTTGATGTAATGGAAAAACACATGAATCTGACCTTTGGAGTGTTTGTAAGTAAACCACAATTTTAACTGACCAAATGTGTGGTCTTTCTCTATGCAAGGAGAAGTGGGGAACCTTGGAAGGGACTTGGACATATTTTAAAGCTTTAACGGCCTATATTTGCATGTTTTACTTTGCCGCATTTTTTTGGACTTTAAATCTCTGCTGAGGTTCTCTCACTCACTTGCCCCAAATTTGGATCTTGGCATCCAGGAATTCTCCTATCTAGACTTTATTATTCTGCACCAACGTTCTCAACGTTCTCAACTGGGTACTTTCTTTGGTGGTTGGACAGGGAGGGGGATACAACAAGCCTAACGGTCCAAAGATGGTAGAGGACACAGTGAGATCTTACGACTGGTGACCTGCTGGCTAGGTACCTTGCTGGGCTGGGCCTGGGGGTAACCCAGGAGCCGCGGTCCAGGTCCAGTCCAGAATCCATAGGTTCCGCTAGGAGTCAGTTCGACGGGGTCAAGGCAGGACACAAGGCAGGAAACCAGGCAAGGACAGGTACAGGATCTCAGGCAGCAATGTTGCTCCCGCAACCTGGGGCGGGGTCCGACAGTCTTTTATCTTTGTTGGGGTAACGGCTGGTCCTGATCCCCCAGCAACTCACCTCCCTGTTTTGCCCGAAGGTGAGCACTCCTCCTGCGAGTACTCAGGTCTCTCCTTCTCTCAGACCTCAGTCTCTGCAGCTCGGGAGATGTCGGTGGGTTACTAGACCCAGGGGCCACCTCAGCCTCCCCTGACCAAACCAGTAGTGGAGCAGCTGTAAGTGATGGCCCAGCTGAAGGCAATGAGACAATCCCCACATCTGGAGCCAGGGCAGGCTCAGGCCCCTGACTCGGCCCAGCTGGTGTTTGTTGCAGGGGAACCTGTGCAGACTGGGACTCTTCGGGATCAGGCCCCAGGCTTGGTTCAGATGATGCCTGAGGCAAACCATCCAGTGCAGACTGGTTCCGACACTGAGCCCGAGTCCCAGGCCATCACACTTGCTCAGACCTGCACCACCACTCTCTTGGTAAGGTAATGGCCAACCATTACCTTAGGCCAAGCCTAGAATGCTGAACGTGATTTGAGGCCCATGTTGACTTCCATGATGTGCGAGGAAGGCCATGACATATGTTGAAGAAGGCAAACGAAACATTGCTCAGGTAGCTTCACAGTCACATTTCCTCAGACGCCCCACCTCACACTTTCCTGTTGCCAGGTGCTGGAGACGCCACAACATGTCTGGGCCTGAGAACCCTGAAAGGAGGCAAAGGGGAGACTGCGGTGAGCCGGCTGTGTTGCGTTCTGCCCACCCGCTGGCTCCACACAGACACCACTTGGGCCTTTTCTTTGGGGTTTGCTAAATCCCCCTCTCCTCCAAACCACCTCGCAGTGGGAGATAACAGAGGGTTATGTGCTTAGAAGAGGCTGAGGTGGACATTTGAGGATACGTGTGTGTGTGTGTCTGTGTGTCTCGCAGGGGAAATGTTCTCTAATAATGCACCCTACATCATTTCTTCCCTCAACAAAAGACAGGCTCGAACCTGCAATTTGTGGGGACGTAGACTCAGAGACTGAGGGTTGAGGGAAGGGGGAAGAGATACTTCCACCCCCTTCCTCCAGTGTCTGTCGCCAGAGCCTCAGGGCTACTTCCCTGGGAGGTCTTCAGATGCGGATGATGTCGGAAGATGAATGCTTATGGAGGAAAGGGAGTCGAGGAACAAACACATTTTCTCCAGGCCAGCTTCACACACTCCCATGGACAGATTTTTAGACGTAGACGATGGTTGCCTATCCGCACCACACATTTAAAGCACTCTTATACCACTTCAGCAGTCATGGAGAATCTTGGGAACTGTAGTTTGTTAAGGGTGCTGGGAACTGTAGCTCTGTGAGGGACAAGTTGCCAGGATTCTTTGGGGGGTAGGGTATGTCATGTGATTTAAAGTGCTTTAAATATATGGTGCGGCTGTGAACTTTTTCTCTGTCTCTCACTACCATGTTTCTTTCACAGACACCACTCTTGCCTTGAGGGAGAGGGTGGGAAAACAAACCTTCTACCAAAGTGGTGTCTCCCTTCCAGAAGTGACCCCCAGCTGTTTCCTCAGTAACTGTGGAACATTTACCTGTCGTTTCCCCAAGAAAGAGGGACCTGTCAACTCTGCTGGGGTCATTAGGCAGCCTTCCATAGAATTGTAGAGTCGGAAGGGACCCTTGAGGGTCATCTAGTCCAACCCCCTGCAATGCAGGAATCTCAGCTAATGCTTCCATGACAGATGGCCACCCAACCTCTGCTTAAAAACCTCCAAGGAAGGAGAATCCGCCACCTCCTGAGGGAGACCGTTCCACTGCCAGACAGCTTTTACCAGGGGTCAGCAAACTTTTTCAGCAGGGGGCCGGTCCACTGTCCCTCAGACCTTGTGGGAGGCAGACTATATTTTGAAAATAATAATAATGAATGAATTCCTGTACCCCACGAATAACCCAGAGATGCATTTTAAATAAAAGCACACATTCTACTCATGTAAAAACACGCTGATTCCTGGACCATCCGCGGGCCGGATTTAGAAGGTGATTGGGCTGGATCCGGCCCCTGGGCTTTAGGTTGTTTACCGTCAGAAAGCTCTTCCTGATGGTAGTACTGGCCACTTAATCCTCTCCTACCCAATGCCCAAACTTACAACAGTCTAATATAGGGTCAAGTTATAAGCCAGTTAGCACTTAGTATTGTTACTAGAGCAAGCATATGCATGCCTGTTTATAAGGTACACTGCCCTGTCCTGTTTGTAAATGGGAATCTGCTTTTGCCGCAACTTCTGAAGATGGCTGGCAGCAGGTTAAGTATGTGGATCTGAGGCTGTGCGCAACACAGGATATGCTGGCCAACAGGTGGAGAATTTGCAGATTGCACATGTGTGCGCACTGAGATCCCATTCCCTCGCAACTCCCCAAAGTGCTGCAACCTTGCCTTGAGCTGTCCTTAACAACAGGGTCTTCCGACCATCTTTCCACCTAAGGATCCATTGTGTACCATCCATTCATTCTATTTTTCACTTGTTCATTGCAAGAATGGGGAGCCTGGACTACAATTCCCATCATCCTTGGCCTTTGGCCCTGCTGGTAGGAAGTGATGGGAGTTGGAGTCCTCTAACCCCCTGCAAGGGCAACAGGTCCCCCATCCCTGTCCCCCATCTATTTGTGCTTTTAAACCTCTCTGTCTTTCTGCGTATCTGTTTCTTCTTTCTCTCTTTATGCCTATTTATTTGCTTTCTTTTCCTGTCTATCAACTCATTATTCCTCCTTCACTTGCGTCCAGCCTTGGGATGCCATCAAACCCAAACGCACCACTGAGCAAAGTGACTTGAAAGGCAGCTGTTTCTCGCACTGGGTTCTTCCCACTGGTGATACCTTTGGGTTTCACTGAGTCATGTTTGTGGTTGAAATTTGCACCCCCCTACTTTAGCAACCAGCCTGACTCACCCGTTTGGAAGGCAACCACGAAGCAAGGCGAGAGGGATATGTATCTCTGGGAGATGACTGATACGCGTCACTCAAAGCAATCCGAGCTGGCTTGGTTTGTCAGCCCAAAACACAATATCTAGATGTGACTTAGGGTGAGTATGTCTCCTGCTTTGCATGGGACACACCTCTGTTTAAAGGCCTCCCCAATCAAAGCCAGGTTTCAAGATCAAGAAACCCTCAGCCTTCCCCACGATCGTGAAATGGATTGCATTGCCATTTAAACAATAGGAATTCTTTCAAGATTCGCACCTGTGCACAAGCAGTTCGGATTTTGTGCAAAGTGGCGTCCTCATTCCACACACACACATTTTTGGCAACTTATAAGTGGCCATCCTAATGTGACTCCTGCCCTTTGGCCTGGTGTCAGCAGGGAGCCAGCAGTAAATCACACTGCAATTTTGGAGTTAACTCTTTATTAGCAAAAACGCAATCTGCACAGGAGCGTCGGGCCTAATGAAAACAGCAACTCATCTCCAGCAGGTCTTGCCCTCATGAAGCAGTTGCTGAGATGGAAAGACCCTGTTTCCCCAGTGCTGCCAAAGTCTCCTCCTCACCAAGGTTTTTCTCAAGCAATCTGAGACTAGGCCTGCATGAAGCTACATAAGTTACCCTCCGCCTTTTTCATGCCTCTTCTGGTTCTAGGAGACAAGGGGGGAACAGAGCTTGTTGTAGCAGCAGGAGGAGACACCTTTGCCTCTTCAACAGCCTGGCTCATCTCTGCCTCTTGGCCTCTCTCACCCCACTCTCCTTCTGATTCTGGACTTCTCTCTATCACAGACTCTCCCTGCTCACTAAGCCCTGTTACCTCCTCAGCTTCTGACACCTCCTGCTCCCAGTTTGACTGCTCATCATTGTCCCATCACCACTCCCTGGACCCTGAGCCTTCTTCCCTTGGTGGTTCCCCAGCTGGTTCCTCCCACCATTTCTCTGCACCCAACCAGTCCATGACACCTGCCATAGCTGATGCCAGGACCTTTTTTGGGTGGCTGTGGGTGGGGTAGAGAATGGAAGCAGGGCACAGTTGTTGAAGGGCATCAGTACAGACCAAGAGAGGGGAACCTGCAGCTTCTCTCAGATATTGTTGGGCTCCAACTCCCATCAGCCCCATCCAGCACGGCCAATGGCTGGGATGACAGAAGTTGTCGTCCAATGGAGAGCCGCAGGATAATGCCTGGCATAATGCAGATGATGGGTGTTGATGCCAGTATTGCAAGAGGCCTGTTGTTTGGCCTTCCGGCTTGGCACTTCCTCAGTTCCTGAGATGGAAATCAGGAGAGATTGCAACCTTGGAAATCCCCCGCCCTTCTGAGTTTTCCAATAGGACCAGATGAGGTGGCTTTCCAGAGGAGGAGGTGAGGCATCAGTGTGCCCAGAGCCAAGCTTGGAAAGACCTAGATGGAAAGGGATGGAGCTCTTCCCGAGACTCCGATTCCAGGAGGAGCTGTGGCTGGAAGTGGATGCCAGACGCCTCCTTGTGGGCAGCTTGCTGGGATGGCTGCCATATTTCTTGATCCAGCACGCCTGCGGTTTCAAGTTGTTTAGACTCTGCTGGGAACGCTAAGAGGAAGTAGCAGGATTAAAGTTGCAGGACACCCCAGAAGGTTTCTATCTTTCCCTTGTGAGGAAGGGGCCAACCCTCTTCCATACAGCGGGGCTGAGGAACTGGTGGCCCTCCAGAAGTTGTTGGACTACAACTCCCATCACCCGTGACCATGACTTCCCATACTCTACTGGGTGGCCAATGTGATGCTCTCCAGCTGCTGCTGGGCTCCAGCTCCCATCAGCTCCTGACATCAGGGCCGCTGGTCAGGGTTGTTGGGAACTGTAGTCTAACATAAAGCCCATCTGTAGTGAGATTCTTAGTGGGGAGAAAAATGGATAGCTCAGCTGGTTAGAGCATGGTGCTGATAACGCAAAGGTTGCAGGTTCGACCCCCACGTGGGGCAGCTGCATATTCCTGCATTTACTCCCATTCCTGTTTTTAATATTTAATGCTGTATTGTTTTTAACACTTGATTGGAAGCCGCCCAGAGTGGCTGGGGAAACTCAGCCAAATGGGCGGGGTATAAATAATAAATTATTATTATTATTATTATTATTATTATTATTATTATTGCATGGGGTTTGGACTAGATCAGTCCCAACTCTACAATTCTATGAGTCTATGAGCCACCCTTACTGATACCATACAAAAATACACAAAAGGCCCTCCCTTTCTCACATGCACGGTGTCAGACTATGTCCTGGGTTCGAATCCCCAGTCAGCCACAAAGCTCACTGGGTGACCTTGGGGGGCCATTCACAGCCTCTCTTCCCTCACAGGGTTGTTGTGAGGATTAAATTGGGGAGGAGGAAAATGATGCATGCCACCATGAGCTCTTAGGAGAAAAGGCAGGGGTAGAAACGCAATAATAAATAAATAGTACACATACGGTGATTTTTTTCTGGGCGTACTCAGGGGTATGCAGTACTGGCACCTCCTCACCCAAGTTAAAAGTGTGGCACTCACTGTAACAATTTTATGGTTAGTACAGGAACCTGTTTTCCTAAAGCAAAAGAGATTTCTGAACACATTCTGTAGGGGAATAGTTACCAGTGACAGGTGCTATGACGGCTAGCTGGCCAGAGTAGGAGTTTAAAGTGAGGAGTAGGAGGAAAGAGGAAGAAGGAGTGGGGCTGTAGAATCAGACACACCTTGCTCCAGGTGGATGCAGAGTTCTTGCCTGCTCCCATCTGGCTCCTAAGAAGCTCTCTCTTGCCCAGAGTCACATACACTTTCACCATCTATCGGGGGATCAGTTGCTCACGTCTCTGTTATCTTGACCAAAGCCTGCTAACACAAGGCCAGAGCAATGCTAATTTTGTTCAGGGGCGGTATTCAACACACTTGTTCTGTCCATGGATGCAGGTGGCGCTGTGGTCTAAACCACTGAGCCTCTTGGGCTTGCCGATCAGAAGGTTGGCGGTTCGAACCCCCGCGATGGGGTGAGCTCCCGTTGCTCCGTCCCAGCTCCTGCCAACCTAGCAGTTTGAAAGCACACCAGTGCAAGTAGATGAATAGGTACCGCTCCGGCGGGGAGGTAAACGGCGTTTCCGTGCGCTCTGGCTTCTGTCACGGTGTCCCGTTGTGCCAGAAGCAGTTTAGTCATGCTAGCCACATGACCTGAAAAGCTGTCTGTGGACAAACACCGGCTCCCTTGGCAAGATGAGCCCCCCAACCCCGTAGTCAGCTTTGACTGGACTTAACCACCCAGGGGTCCTGGTCTAGTTACCGTAAGTGGCACAGTTTAGCATATATATATGCAAAAAGGTTTGCTCTGCAGCACAGAAGCAAAGGTGAGGGCTTTTCCCTCCCAGGAGAACAATAGCAGAGTTGTTTATGTATGTGACTTGAAAGCTGGGGGCAGGCAGTGGCAGAGCTTCATGCCTCGGCACGGGGGTGGGGGGCGGAGAACAGGTGGGGGCAGGGCTGGCGTGTGTCCCGGGGGCATGGCGCCCAGCACAGGTGGGTGCGGCAGCCACGATGACACCCCATCGGGATCGCGCTGCTGGGGGTGGTGCGCTCCCCCCGCACTGCTCTTCCTCCGCCAGTGGGGGCACGGACAGATCCTACTCTGTGCTGGATCCAAAGCTGTGACCAACTAAGAGGGAGGAGAAGTTTCATTGCACAAATGGAAAATGCATTGGATACACCCCCTAAATACATGCTGATATTGGTAGGGACATAGCCGGCATTTGGCCCATGCAAACAATGCCCTGAAGGACTGCCTCTTTCCATATGGACCTACCCGGACCCTGAGATCATCTTCTGTGGCCCTCGTTTGTGTGCCGCCTCCTCCTCCAGAGGTCCAGAGGGTGGCAACACGAGGACTTCTCTGCAGTGGCTTCTCTGCAGTGGCTCCCCGTCTGTGGAATGCTCTCCCCAGGGAAGTTTGCCTGGCGCCTTCATTGCATACCTTTAGGTGCCAGGCAAAAACGTTCCTTTTTAACCAGGCCTTTGGTTGACCTGACTGACATCCAACACCCTTTTAAGATGCAGCTTTTTTGGGGGGGGGGGAGTTATTGCTTTCAGTTTCATTTTATATGTTGTGGTCTTGTTGTGAACCACCCTGAGACGGCCGGGTATAGGGAGGTGTATAAGTTGAATCAATAATAACAATAACAGCAGCAGCAGCAGCAGCAACAACAATAATCACTGAAACGTCTGGGAAAATCTGGACGTACGGCAGCCCTTGTTGGAAGCATCGATTTTGGCGAATTTAATTTATAAAAAAGCTCCAAAATGCAAAACAACAATAACAAAAAAGCTCTACAACCTACCACTTCCAAAACCTGTGATTCTGTATCTGTGAGGGTAGAATATAGAAGAGGAAGCTTGCCAAACCTGTTCCTTTGTCCAGGTAATTCCTTTGTCTGCCTAGTTACCGTAAGTGGCACAGTTTAGCATATGTAGGCAAAAAGGTTGCTCAGTGGCATTAGAAGCAAAGGTGCATGGGTAGGCAAACTAAGGCCTGGGGGGCCAGATCAGGCCCAATCGCCTTCTAAATACGGCCCGCGGACGGTCCGGGAATCAGCGTGTTTTTACATGAGTAGAATGTATGCTTTTATTTAAAATGCATCTCTGGGTTATTTGTGGGGCATAGGAATTCCTTCATTTATTTATTTTTTTCCAAAATATAGTCTGGCCCCCCACAAGGTCTGAGGGACAGTGGACCGGCCCCCTGCTGAAAAAGTCTGCTGACTCCCGGTGCAGGCCTTTCCCTCCCAGGAGAACAATAGCAGAGTCATTATGTATGTGAGTTGAAAGCTGGAGGCAGGGACAGGTCCTTCTCTCTGCTGGATCCAAAGCTGTGACCAGAAGAGGCAAGATCTTCTGGGGTGTTAACGTCCTGAGTTCCCTCCATCCTATGCTCAGATTGTAGATAAGTGTAAGCGCGATCATATCTCCTAAAGACACCACAGTCTCCATTGACCTTCACTCCAAGCAGCTGAGCCCTGGAAAAGCTCAGACGCCTTCAGAGTCTCTCACCCCTCAGAGTTTGGGGATGGTGCATAGCAATGGCGAACTTAATAACATGAGTAACAGGTCTTCCCCAGCACATAAACTTCCTTTGCACTCCTCACCTTGTCTCTGGGGCATCAAAATTGGCTGTTTCTGGGGTAAGGATATAAAGTGGCTTGGAGATGAGACCAGCACAATTTCTCTTGATAGGTGAGTTTAGACGATGCTCAGCATCTGACACCGTCACCTATTTGCAATCATGAAAAAGGGAACTTTAACCAAGTGGCAGTGATACATCCTGGGACTTAGGGTTGGGGGGGGGGGTATCTCCTGCAGCATGTGACTTGAGGTTGTTTGGTTATTGTTCATTGTTCGGCATATTTGGCATGAAACATCTCTAGTTTGTTTGTTCCTTCATTTCATTCATGGTGGTTTCCAAATGCACAGGTGCCATTCTGGCCCAATTGGGCTCTCGTGAAAGCTAAAAGCAGCAGCAGAAGTAGCAGCAGCAGCAATAAACATATAACAACAACAACAACAACAACAACAACAACAACAACCATATCAAAACACCAACATCCAAAAACTACCAAAACACCAATATATAAAAAAGAGAGGAATCAGAATTAAAAACAGGCACAGCCATTACAGTTTGGCTTGCCAAAAACCCATCTGAAACAAAATGCTCTTTGCCATTTTCTCAAAAGAAAGCTGATAGTAAATTGCCTGGCAAACTGTTCTAGGTAAGCAATTCCAGAGAGAGGGTGCCACAACCAAAAAGGCCCCGTTCCGTGTACTCAAGTCACTAGCCTTTTTTTCAAAGTCTGGGACACCTGGAGTGAAACTATTTCACTCTATGAGTCGGTTTCAGTTTCTCTTGGTTCGTCATTTTCCCATTCTTCAGTTAGCCGCATTTCTCCATCAGTTGGTTTTTAAAACCCATCAGTATCTGCCCCGCCAGTATATACATTCTTTGCAAGGTATTTCCCCTAATGAGACACATTTTTAAAAGTCGCTAATATATGTGCTTTTATGTACACTTTCCTCAAACGCATCCATCTTTTCTTGGATGGAGCGTTGCATCCAAGGTAATTCGGAGAAGCACAAGTTTTAAAGGATAGCTCCGTTTTGGCTTGCGAATTCCTGGGAGTGCGAACGAGAGTAGGCTGGCATGAAAATGCGAACAGACTTGGGGAGGGGCGTTTTGCCTCCATCTCTAACCATCAAATACCTCTCTCTCTCTGGCGCCCATAGACCTGCACCACGTTGCTGTGGGAGGAGGCGTAGCTGGTGGCTGGCCGAGCTGTGCTTTTCGCCCCCGCACCTGTGGTCCCCTGTGGAATGTTTTCCCCGGCAGGTGTAACTCCTGAGTCGATTTGTTCCACCAGGATGCTCCTGAATTTCTGTCTCCAGCCTCCCCCCTCCCCAGCTCTTTGATGCCTCTGTGCTCCAAGATAACTTCAAACATCTGCACGAACCAGCACAGCCCAGGCTTTTTAATTACACCCTTCCCAGCTCCCTGGTACTCTCCAGCCCCTTTGATGTTCTCTTACCACCCAGCGCTGTCGCCAGCAGCCACACACATACCATAGAGTTCAGTCTGCCCCGAGGGGCGGATGGTGGGAAGGTGGGAGTGGAGAAAGGAGGCAGAGAAGCAGGATGAACCAAGCTGGTCCTTTAAACATCCTCCGCACAGCCCATAGACCATCTGGGGAATATTCCAGGTACCTATATGTGGCTTAGGCCCTATTAACATCAAAGCCGTTCAGCCGCCACATCCCCGTGTGCTGAGTCCCTGAAGCAAGGGTGTTTATTTTTAAATATATGCATATTTGGGTCCAAAGAGTCTTCACTGAGAGCAAGCATCCTAGCTGGCTCATCCTTTCCCTGCAGATGGACCGGAAAATCAGTGCATTTCCCCAGGAATCCTGTTTGTCTTTCTTGTTTAAATGATGGCATGAATGCGACCTGAAACAAGTACAGTCATACCTCGGGTTACAGATGCTTCAGGTTGCGTTTTTTCAGTTGTAGACTGCCGAAACCCGGAAGTACCGGAACGGGTTACTTCCGGGTTTCGGCGGTCACGCATGCACAGAAGCGCTGAATTGCAACCCGCGCGTGTGCAGATGCGGGTTGCGAACACTGCGGGTTCCGAACGTGCATCCCGCATGGATCACGTTCGCAACCGGAGCGTCCACTGTACGTTTAAAGCCCACACCACAGCTAGAAGGTATCCCTGTCCTCCACAGGGGTACACATTACTTATGTATGTCCCATTCTGTTCAACACAGAAAATAATCTTCATTCAAAAATAATTAACCCACCAAAAATGTCTTACTCCTGTTTACATGCACAGCTTTACAGCCCAGTCCTGTGCATGTGTATCAATGGGGAGCAACACCTACATAAAATCATAGAATTGGAAGGGGACGCAAGGGTCATCTAATCCAGCCCCATGCAATGCAGGAATCTTTCGCCCAACATGAGACTCGAACCCACGACTCTGAGATTAAGAGTCTCACCCTCTACCAACTGAGCTAGGACTCTGCCACATTAGCAAAACAAAACAAAACAAACGGTTTTTAATTCGTTACAACACGGTGACACCAGGTGGCGCTGCAATGTGATTTCCCATTGTGAGGTTTCGACGCGTTTTTCTGAAAGCGTCTAGATCCAGCCCTAGTCATTGCAAAGTCCACCGGTAAGACTTGAGCTAAGAGATTCCACAGAGAGTGCGCCCCTCCCCCCTCACCATGGAACCAGCTGTATGTATAATGTATTGCTCTTACAAGCCCTGGGTTGGATCTAGAAACATTTTTTTAAAAAAACATTTCAGGGAACCGTAGGTTCATACAGTGGTACCTCATACAGTGGTACCTCTAGATACGAACAGGATCCGTTCCGGAGCCCCGTTCATATCTAGAAGCAAACGTAACTAGTGACGGCACGTCTGCGCATGCGTGACGTCATTTTAAGTGCCTGTGCATGCGCAAGCGGCGAAACCCGGAAGTAACGCGCTCCATTACTTCCGGGTTGCCGCGGAGCACAACTCGAACGCGCTTAACCCGAAGCGCATTCAACCCAAGGTATGACTGTAGTGGGAAATCACATTGCCGAAAGACGAAATTCTACAGCGTCATCTGGTGTCACAGTGTTATGACGTATATAAAACACTTTTCCTTTACAGTGTACCTCAGGTTACGAACTTAATTCGTTCTGGAGGTCTGTTCTTAACCTGAAACTGTTCCTAACCTGAGGTACCACTTTAGCTAATGGGGCCTCCCGCTGCCGCCGCGCCGCCAGAGCACGATTTCTGTTCTCATCCTGAAGCAAAGTTCTTAACCTGAGGTATTATTTCTGGGTTAGTGGAGTCTGTAACCTGAAGCGTCTGTAACCTGAGGTACCACTGTACCAATGTAGTCCGTAATCCCGGGCAGGAAAGTGCCACAGAACTGCAATGGCGCCTCTTTTTTTCCTGGAGCAAGGCGTTGTATTTTAGCCCCTCAGAGCTCTGTCCAAACAAGGGTTCTGCCCATAAAGTAGTGACATACGAGAAAGCGGCCTTGAGCATGTGCAGAGTGCCTTTCCTCACTACAACTAGCCTGAACACTTCTGCAGCTAAGGCACCCTCCAAAGAAGAGGGCAAATTTGAGCCCTGGCGCCTCTCCTTTTAGAAACAGAATTAAAGGTCTGAGACCCCAAGGGCATTGTTCTCTATTAATTGTTCCGCTCGATGCTTTGTCAGGGATTGCCAAATGTCGTGTGCGCATGAGAGAAAGGGGCTTCCCCTTTCTGCCCCGCAGCATCCTGGGTAATGGCACAGAAAGAGATGTGGTCCGCCAGGTGCGAGGAGCTTTGGGGAGGCGAAACAGGGCCGCCTTCTTTTCTTCTGACCTGGGCTGCAAGCACACCAAACGTCGAAAGCACACCTAAACATGTAAAGAACATTTAAACAGGAACACCCCCTGCCAACAAACAAACAAAACACCGAAAACGTAATTTACCTCACAGTACTACAGTTCCCAGCACCACACACTACAGTTCCCAAGTTTCTTTCAGTGTTTGACTGTGTGTGCTTTAAAGATATATATGTATGCAGCCTTAGAAGCTTTGTGACTTATTTCTAGCCTTATTTATTCTCGTTGCCGTCCGTTTTTAGGCAGCTCAGTGCTGTAACTGACCCCACAGCAGTTCAACTACCAGCCCGGCCTGGCAGAAACCCCCCAGGCCGGGCGCTTTCCATGGCACAGAGAGGCAGAGCGGGGAAGCAGCACCACCTAGATTCCTGCCTGTCCTCACATAGGTGCTACAAGCCGCGGGTGCCCTGGCGGTTACCTCGCGGAGGAGCTTTGGGGCGCAAGATGGGGAGCCCTGTCTCGTCTGATCTTTCCAGCTTTGAAGCACATGGCCCCGGGGCCAAACATCGCGGCTCCGAGGAGGGCAGGACCAAACAGCCCTCCTGCCTCTTCCCTTCCTCGCAGGCCTCCTGGGACTCAAATATCCCACATCCTGGCACCGATGCTCTCTCTCAGCGGCGGGTTGCTGAGGGCCTGGCAAAGGCGAGGGGGGCGGGTGGGTGTTACGTGTGTCGGGCAAGGGTGAGCCGGAGGCACCCGGGTTGGCTGCTTGTTTATTTGGTTACTGCTTTGTGGTTTCCACAAGGTGCCTGCAGGTCTGTGAAGAGAAGCGGCTTCAAGATGCGTCTCGCCCTGTTCTCGTCTCCTGCTAGGCCTCAGACGGGCCCAGATGGCGGCCGTCCAACTCTGTGTGTGTGAGAGAGAGAGGGAGGGAGAGAGAGGAGGGAGGAATGGAAGGAAGAAATGAAGAAGAGAACTGAGGAGAAGGAGAGGGAGGGGAAGGGAAACAAAGCTTGTGAGTCACTTCGGAATGTCAGAAGCTGCTGCTGGGTCTGTCTCCGGCTCAGGGTTGCCCACACTGGCTGGCAGCAGCCGTTCAGGGTTTCAGGCAAGGGACGTTCCCAGCCCCACCTGGGTATTTCAGGATTTGAACTCAGGACCTTCTGCATGCATGTGGGAGGGTGTGCAAATCTGCTAAGAAGTGAGCCCCATCATCCCTGACTTGTCCTGCTAGTGAAAGCTGAGGTGAAAGCAGTATTGTGTGTTGCCTCATCAGGTGCATGACAAATATGCTTGGGCCACCATGATATATTAGGGTTGCCATATGTCAGTAATTTCCCAGACATACTGAGAATACTGCATTTGGAAGTAGTGTCCGGGCGGAAATAGCAGCAAATAAAATCCGCTCATACGTCAGCGACTGATAAGACTTGTCAACCAGTTCTTCCAAAGTCTTCCTGAATGATAAAGCTCCAAAATACAGTGGTGCCTCGCAGGACGAAATTAATTCGTTCCGCGAGTTTTGTCATCTTGCGATTTTTTTCGTCTTGCGAAGCACGGTGTCGGGAAAGTTTTGGAAAAGCTTCAAAAATCAGTAAAGTCTTAAAAAACCTCAAAAAAGGCTACCACACCGTGTTCTATGAGTTGCTCCTCGAAGTCAAGTCGCAACTGTATTAATGGTGTTAAGAAAAAGGAAACAAACTTGCAAGACGTTTCCGTCTTGCAAAGCAAGCCCATAGGGAAAATCGTCTTGCGAAGCAGCTCAAAAAACCCTTTCGTCTACTGAGTTTTTTGTCTTGCGAAGCATTCGTCTTGCGAGGTACCACTGTACAGGCCAAAAGACAGCAAGTCTGGGAAAAGTGGTCCATACAATGGGCACCACCAGTGAAAAGGCCCTGCTCCGTGTACATTTGATAGGGTGCCCACTTGCCCTTCTTCTTGACATGGAATGCTCTCTATTGGAGTCTCCAGGTCCAGTACAAAGACCATAAGATGGGAGAGCAGGGACTTTGGAGTTTCCAACAGTTGTTAAGCAAGCAAGCACACGGGTCACCTTTGTCACAGTCAGGATGCCTATGCCCAATCTTGTTTTTGTACAATCTTGTTTGTTCTCAGTAACCAAAATTATGTTATCAACATATACAAGCAGAAAAGTTGTTTTACTTCATTTGCAAGGAATCATACAAAACAAAGCGGCACTAATAAAGAAAAGTTCCAGGGTGGCAACAGAAAGAAAACTAAAAATGCTTTTGCAATTCATCAGAAATATCCAGCAATATAAAGTATAAGAAAATTGGTGCTTTTAACAGTAACCCTTCTAGTTGGCTATTTGATTCGGCAACTTCCATGCACATGACATGTGATGCTAATCCCCCCTCCAAAGAGTTAAAAGATAACTCATCAGAGGAATCTACAGTTGCAAATCGCAACAAAATATCTGTGAAAGGAAGAGGAGCAGGTTTGCTGAAGTGTGTTACAGTTAGAAATACTGTTTTGCAATGAAGTGAGAGCAGTTTACTTGCTCGAATTAACCAATCAGAAAGTTTCGAGAATTTACATGCTAGATTAAAATAGATTAATTCATTGAGCAGGCGATTGTAAGAGAAACACTGGGGCCTAATTTGAATAGTAGCGTGCCTGGTATCTGGTGGGCAACCTCATTCTTTATTTCCACACCGTGGCTGCAAAGTAAATCGCCCGTCAGGAGAGCGATGAGATTCAGGCGAGGGTCAGATGCCTTGCCAATTCCAGCAGGTATATAACAGGCCTTCACCCTGGCCAAGACAAAGAATGTACTCCTGCAATGAGCCAATCAATTGGAAAATTTGTTTGTTTGGAACCCATACTAGTCAGAATTTCACAGTTTAAAAGCAGCACCCAGAGAAATCTTATGCAGCGGTTCGGAACGGCTACCCTCCTCAGTGGATTCTTCCAGCTTCTTGCAACTACTGCCCCCTTTCTTTGTCAGTGTTCCCAATGCAGTGACTCGAAGCCTCGGCATCATGCACTGGACCTGCAACGAAACCAGCTCAACAGGCTTGGGCTGGCCTGTACTTGAGCGGGGAGGGGAGGGGGAGGAGTGCTAAGGAACACCCAAGCACTCCAGGAAGTGGAACAAGATGACTCAGAAGCTTTGCCTTGGCCTCTGGCTTGGCTGACACGAGGCCAGCACCAGGGTTAGTCTTTAGAGGGCGCTGTCCCCAGCAAAGGGAATGTTGCAAATTGCTCACGTGGTCAGCCGTCGGGACCAGATCTGGGAAGGGTCGTAGGTCAGTGCTGGGGCATCTGCCTTGCACACAGGGTCAATCCCCAGGTTGTCTTGTTGGCAGTACTTTTTACGAAATAGCATTGTTGCTGAACACCATTTCAGCTTTTAAAGCTTTCGTCAGCTTACTTGAAAATCAAGGTGGGATTGTGCTTGTTTTCCTTATTTTACCATTTGCAGGGCGGACAACACAACAAAATAGAGAGTCTTATCACAATAAACTGATCTGCTTGAAAGGCCGTAGATATGTCAAACTCTACAGCAACAAAATGATTAAAAAAAACCATACAGAGTGAAATACTCAAATATACAACTGTAAGCCAGTTGTAGGATCATTACACTGCAGGGTTCCTGAAGAATATGGGAGATATTTCTGCAAAGTTCCACATTCTTATTTCAATGTACAGTGGTACTTCAGGTTACATACGCTTCAGGTAACATACGCTTTAGGTTACAGACTCCACTAACCCAGAAATATTACCTCAGGTTAAGAACTTTGCTTCAGGATGAGAACAGAAATCTTGCTCCGGCAACGTGGCAGCAGCAGGAGGCCCCATTAGCTAAAGTGGTGCTTCAGGTTAAATACAGTTTCAGGTTAAGAACGGACCTCCAGAATGATTTAAGTACTTAACCCGAGGTACCACTGTATAGGAAAATATACATTCCACCAAGTCAGACCATTGGGGCATCAATGACGGACAGCAGCTTGACAGGGTTTCAGACATATATCTTTTCCCAATCCTACTTAGGAGATGCCATATTGGCTTGGCAAACAGAGTGTAGATTTTAAAAGATAATCATAGTTGTGTTGTTAATACAGCGTTATTAAGGATTTGATGTATTGACTCAGAAGTATATGATGTAACACTTTGTGGCATTTTCTTGGCTGATTCTTCATTTAATAGCATTTTGCACTCGAGCATGAGGCTTCACAACATCAAAATACCAGATGCACGGTTCAGATGCAGGCTCGTAACTACTGGAAGCTGTGGTAGTGGGCCGAAGCCTGTGGAACTCTCTCCCGACTAATATTGAATAGGCACTCTCCTCGATCAACTTGAGATGCGTGGCTTTCTTGGTCCAGCAAACATTTTAATGTCATGTTTGATTTTATGGCAAACTTTTATTGCTGCCTTGTCCCGCTTTCTACAGATTGTTTTTATTTACATAGCTTAGAATGTATCAGGGACCATGCTGAGGAGGGCTGCACTGAGGAAGAATGGTGGGAGTCTCTCCCTCCCCCCCTCTCCTGAAACTTCCCAGGAGCAGGAGGACAATATAGATTTGGAACAGTGGTTTGCAGAGGGGCATGGTTTAGAAGGCAGAAGCTGGGAAATACTGAATGGGGAACAGCTAGGAGAGGGAACACTGGGAGAGAGAGGGTTAACAGATTCACTGTCTCTGGGAAGCATTCCTCCGCTCTCCCCAAGGTCAAGAAGAGCTCAGAAAGGGGCAGAACAGTAAGCACAGAGGATGGGATTCTTAACTGGGAGCACCACCGTTTCTAGGAGATGGGTTCTTTGTTCTCTCGCTGGGATTATTAAAAGTTTCTAACTGGTAAGAAGACTCCTTTTCCTTTGTTCTGCTTATCTACTGCCATGGGAGGAGGAAGGCGATTCCCTGAAGCCTGACAGAATGTGAAACAATTAAGTGGTATATTTGTATGGGTGACATTTAGTTATATCTGAGGTCCAGGACTAGCCTAGAACATCTCACTGTGCCTGAAGTGGAAAACCCAACAATGTCCCAAGACTAAGTGATATGTGAATAAATGTCTTAAATCAATCAATAAAGAGCTGGGGCATCCTCAACAGATGCCCATCCAGCCTTTTTCGGATGATCTCTAGCAAGGATGACTCCACTGCTCTTCTAAGTAACAGGTTCCATTGCTGAACTGCTCTTACCATGCTTCTCCAAATGTTCAACCAAATCTACCCTCCCATGACTTAATTCCCTTAGATCTAGTCCGGCCCCCAGGGGCACTTGAGAACAAAGCGTTGCTCATTTCTACGTGACAGCCCTTCAGGGATTTGAAGGGCTTGGCCAAAACAGGGAAGGCAGAACTCCTGATGGAGACTACACAACTCCACATTCCACCATTAGATGAGATTCAAGGTCCCTCCAAATGTCCTTTTTTCATGCTCCTGATGGTATTGGGGCGGTTGTACACAATCTGGATTTCAGTTCTGTTTGTGCCTCCAAAAGTTTCAAGGGTAGACATCCTGCTTCATTTTCTCAAGCAATGCATGACTCGCAACGTCCAGCTGAAATTTTGTAACTTTTCACACCAGGAATGACCTGGGACTCAGCTACTTTAGTCAAGAAACACATGTTTTGGGTGCATCCAACACCAGATTGCACCAGAAAGCAGAAAAACTTTCGAAGTGATTTTCCATAACGTTTTTTCCCCCTTTTGTTTTTCCCCCCTTTTTGATTTCCGACTTATTTATAGCATTTCCTCCGTATGTGTAGACCCAACTCTGGTTTATATACCCCCTCTTATTTCGTTGTGTTATAGTGCAAGGCTGTCCTTCCAGAAGGCAACAACGCAATAACATTGGGGAAGCATCACATAATGACATATAAAACAGAACTATGTGTAGATGCTTCACCATGAATGCGCTATTGTTGCATCAGTGACATGTTTCAAAATGTTATTGTTGTTTAGTCATTAAGTCATGTCTGACTCTTCGTGACCCCATGGACCAGAGCACGCCAGGCACTCCTGTTTTCCACTGCCTCCCGCAGTTTGGTCAAACTCATGCTGGTAGCTTCAAGAACACTGTCCAACCATCTAGTCCTCTGTCGTCCCTTCTCCTTGTGCCCTCCATCTTTCCCAACATCAGGGTCTTTTCCAGGGAGTCTTCTCTTCTCATGAGGTGGCCAAAGTATTGGAGTCTCAGCTTCAGGATCTGTCCTTCCAGTGAGCACTCAGGGCTGATTTCCTTCAGAATGGATAGGTTTGACTTTCTTGCAGTCCATGGGACTCTCAAGAGTCTCATCCAGCACCACAATTCAAAAGCATCAATTCTTCGGCAATCAGTCTTCTTTATGGTCCAGCTCTCATTTCCATACATCACTACTGGGAAAACCATAGCTTTAACTATATGGACCTTTGTTGGCAAGGTGATATACCACAAACAAACAACAACAACAACAATAACTAGTCTGGAGGAGCCCCAGGAAACATGAGGAACTGATGTTCTAGTTGCCTCTATTTCTTTGAAACAGCTTTATGCAGTTCCTGACATCACAGGTCACCTTTGAATGAATAACGCACGATACTTTACTCCAGTTTCTTCATGAAAATCAAGGTGGTTTTACTGCTCATATTTCGGCCATTTCCCTTTTAATTCCCATTCTTGATTGCAAACATTCCCAGCTCATTCTCCTCATTGACCTTTTAAGGTCTGAAGTGCAGAGGGTGCCTGGCATTTCAGGGTCAATCTAAAACTCTGCTTGGTCAGATATTCTTAGGAGGAGCTGTCGGACTGGGGGAAGGTTCATGAAGTCACGTCTGACCCAGGCTCTGCTCTACCCGAGGAAAGCAAATGACAGGCTGCCATCACCTTGAAAGCTGCAATTTAGTGCTGCCGCTGTGATATCCTCCAGAAGTTAATAAGCACCCTGCTTGCATGCGAGGAGGCCATGGTGGTTTGGGAATATGTAAACCTGGGGAGACTTGGGCTTTTGAGGGAAGGAGGTGGTGGGGCTGAGCTATTGGTCAGGAAATGCTCCAGCTGTGGGATCCTAGATTACCTTTTGTAAAAAGCCCACCCCCCACTCCAATTCAGTGGATTCATGTAGCTGACATGAATCTGGAATGACTCAAGAGTGCTGAACGATGTGCATTGGAGTCAAGCATATTTTTGAAATTGTGAACCTTTTTTACCAGGAATTTTAGATGCAGAAATACCAAAGGACCAGAAAAGACTATTTATGTATGCGACGACAGCTGCCCAGATCCTTCTAGCCCAGAGATGGAAGGAAGACAAAGTCCCTACCAGAGAAGATTGGCTGATAAAGATGATGGACTATGCCAAAATGGCGAAAATGACCGGGAGAATTAGAAACCAAGAAGACAAAAGCTTTTAATATAGAGTGGGGGAAATTTATAAGTCACTTAGGAGAACACTGCAAACAATTAAAAACATTGGTAGGATTGGAATAACACTTGTAATGTAGTAAGAACTAGGGTCTAATGAGGATTTTAAGAAAAAATGAAGGATAATATGAGATGAGGATAATATGGGACATGGGTGGCACTGTGGTCTAACCCACTGAGCCAAGGGCTTGCCGATCAGAAGGTCAGCGGTTCGAAACCCCACGACGGGGTGAGCTCTTGTTGCTCTGTGTCAGCTCCTGCCAACCTAGCAGTTCAAAAGCACGTCAAAGTGCAAGTAGATAAATAGGTACCACTCCAGCGGGAAGGTAAATGGCGCACCGTCCCCAGCACCACGATCCCGGTGGGGTGCCATCACGGTTGCCCCCCCGCGCTGGGCACCATGCTCCTGGGACGTGTGCCAGCCACGCCCACACCTGCTCTCCGCCCCCAGTGCTGGAGCATGAAGCTCCACCACTGCTGAGCACTGCACAGTACACATTGCTCTATGCTGCCCTTTTGGACCAGAGCTCTTGCGCTGCTTCTGCATTGTTGGCTTATCATTCTTATATTGCTCAATCTTTGCCGAACAACAACACACAGTAATGGCTCTCTTTCTAGGCACGACATCTTGACATTACTGGTTCCTTTTCTGAAGTTTGACTCTGTCACGAGCCCACTGTATACATTTTTGTAGAAAGCACATTGAACGTGCCCCCCAGCAAATAACCCTAGCAATTGTTGTTGCTGCTGTTTTTTAATAATATTTTTATTGACTTTCCATTTTATAATATGTAAATATATCCTTATTTTGCACATTAGTTTTTGCCCATATGAGCTGGTTGACTTCTCCCCCCCCCCCACCTCATGGTTACCGTATTTTTCGCTCTATAGGATGCACCCGACCATAGGACACACCTTGTTTTAGAGGGGAAGAACAAGGGGAAAAAAATTTCTCCCCCTCTCTGCTCAGTGCCCCTTCAGCGAAGCGGCAGGAGAAACGGAGCCCCTTCCATTTCTCCTGCCCCTTCACTGAAGGGGCGCTGCGCAGAGAGGGGGAGATTTTTTTTCTCTTGTTCTCCCCCTCTAAAACAAGGTGCGTTCTGTGCATTCAAGGTGCGTTCACCCGAAGCCTCCGGGAACTCCCGCTGCGCTCTGGAGGCTTCAAGCAGCTACCTTGGAAGCCTGGAGAGTGAGAGGGGTCACTGCGCACTGACCCCTCTCGCTCTCCAGGCTTCAGTGAAGGCAACCCGAAGCCTCAGGAGCATGGTGGGAGTTCCCGCTGGGCTCCGGAGGCTTTGGGTTCCTTTCGACCTACTCTTTGGGGCTGGCGGGGGGAAGCGCTGCTTTCCCCCAACGCCAGCCCCAAAGAGCAGGTCGGGGAGCAGCGCAAAGGCTGCGTGCAGCCTTCCTGCTGCCCCCCAAGCTTGTGGGGCTGGCGGTGGGGGGGGAGCGCTGCTTCCCCCCCCCAGCCTCAAAGATCCCTGAAGCCTTCAGAGTGCAGCGCGAGTTCCCGCTGCGCTCCGCAGGCTTCGGGTTCCTTTTGCTGAACCCGGGAGAGCAAGACTCTCCTGGCTTCAGTGAAAGGAACCTGAAGCCTCCGGAATGCAGCAGGAACTTGCGCTGTGCTCCGAAGGCTTCAGGCGGCTATCCCTGAAGCCTGGAGAGCGAGAGGGGTCGGTGCCCACTGACCCCTCTTGCTCTCCAGGCTTCAGCGAAAGCAACGCGAAGCCTCCAGAGCATGGAGGGAGCGCTCCTTCTGCGCTTCGGGGGCTTCGCGTTGCTATCGCTGAAGCCAAGGAGCCTGCATTCGCTCCATAGGACGCACACACATTTCCCCTTAATTTTTGGAGGGGGAAAAGTTCATCCTATAGAGCGAAAAATACGGTACCTTAATTCTTTACTATATCATCACATTTGTACCTCTTTCTGCTTACATTATGTCCATTTCAATTATTACATTTTTAAAAAATATATATAAAAAGGTAGAATCATCAACATTACAAGTCTTCTTAAGTCAATCCAGCTAGTGTTGTTAATTGTTTGCAATTGTCCTTCAAACATTGTATAAATTTACCCCAGTCTTTTTGGAAAGCTTGATCACGCTGGTTTTGGATTTTCCCAGTCAGCTTTGCCAGTTCTGCATATTCCACCATCTTTGTCTGCCACTCTTCAATTGGAAGTGACAGGAATTACCAGCCTAGCAATTGTTGTTTACCCTGCACAGAGCTACAGTTCTCAGGACCCTTAACAAAACTCAGTTCCCAGGATTCTTTGGGTTCTGTGTGGACTGGCTTTAAATACTTGGAGGAGCTTCTCCACCCCCATCGTTCAGCCCGGACACTGAGGTCCAGCGCCGAGGGCCTTCTGGCGGTTCCCTCACTGCGAGAAGTGAGGTTGCAGGGAACCAGACAGAGGGCCTTCTCGGTAGTGGCACCCGCCCTGTGGAACGCCCTCCCACCAGATGTCAAAGAGAAAAACAACTACCAAACTTTTAGAAGACATCTGAAGGCAGCCCTGTTTAGGGAAGCGTTTAATGTTTAATAGACTATTGTATTTTTATATTCTGTTGGAAGCCGCCCAGAGTGGCTGGGGAAACCCAGCTAGATGGTTGGGGTATAAGTAATAAATTATTATTATTAAATGCAAGGTGTGTAGGCAGCCTGGGCAACTGCAATCTAAGGATCAAGCTGGGCTTTACTGCAGAGTTGTTGTACAGATTAGTGGGGTGATGCATGTGGAGCTCTTGGGACACCCCAAAGTCCCGTCTAAACACTAGACTGTTGAACGATTGCCAGACAAACAAATACAGGGCCTCAAGAACCAATGCAACGAGGAACGTTGAACTGCGAAACCTGATCGAGGCAGGATGTGGAACGATCTGTGAACCGTACAAGTGGCGAGATCCAATCCTCCGCCCCACCCACCGCGAGAAGACCGAGACAATGCTAACATTGGGATAAGACAGATTGACGTGATGTCATTGCAGGGAGGCAGACAGTTCAAAAGCTATTGAAGCCTTTCTCCTGAAAGCTCCTTCGAGAGGCGTTGCAGACTGATTTGGCTTTAGATCCAAGGCTTCGTCAAGAGTCCATAATCCCCTCGCTTTGCATGACCGACCGTCTATGCGGTTGGCACTTCAACACGACGCTGAGCTGGGCAGACGCTTGGCGGGGAAGATGAAGACACTGCCTTGTGTCAGCTAAGTGGCGTCTCAGAGGGCTCTGAGCACCTCCGGGGTGGACTCCTCTCTGATGCGCAGGAAAGTTTTACCTTCGACTCTCTAGACTGCTGACCAGCTGTTTCTGGGGCAACCATAAGCCAAGCATAATGAATATCTTTTGGCTGAGACAGAAAACCTCAAACCAGGTTCACTTTGTGGACATTTGATATTTCGTGGGTTATGGTCTGGCCTAAGCCCCATCCCTGGCCATTGCTCACAGCCTCTGTCTATGTGCGCAGATTTGCTGTTTGCAGATGATTTTGATCCCGGCTCTGTGGGTACGACAAGATCGCTCTCGAACCCATTCCACATAACAAAGCTGACCAGATGGGCTGCTGCTGCATCTCAGCTAAAGTATCCACAACAGATGGTTGTGAGTCGAGGACCCACCACCCGCATAGGAGTATAATAAGACACAAATAAACATTATTTTAGGTTAATGGGCAAAATTAGGCCACAACTTTTATTGGTTACAGCATGTGAGTAGTATTGGCCTAGGCACTGGATGAAATAGCAATACAAGACTCCATGGGAGTCATATCAGGGTTAACAACCAATGGGAGGAGCTTGTTGATGCAAATACAAGTGGAAGCTCTCCATTACATCACTGGGGGTCATGCCCTGGCCCTAGCCACCAGCAGGGCATCGGACAGGATCCACGACTGCCGGATTCCTTTAATGGAATACCCAAAAGAGGAGGGGTAGATGATGGCCCATACCCAATCCTTCAACACAGCACACATATTCCAATGCCTAACCGCCAATACCAGAAAGTTGTGATGAATTGCTACGAGGTAGGCGAAAAAAACCATGGTTCGAGTCCTGTCCTCCAGAGCAGGAGAAATCAAGCTTGTTCCCTCTCTCACGTGACAGCCCTTGAGATAGTTGAAGATGGCTATCATATCTTCTCTCAGTCTCCTCTTTTCCAGGCTAAACATACCCAGCTCCTTCAACTCCTCCTCATAAGGCTCTGTTTCCAGACCCTTGATCATCTTGGTTGCCCTCCTCTGCACACATTCCAGCTTGACAACTTCCTTCTTAAATTGTGGAGCCCAGAACTGGACACAGTATTCCAAGTGTGGTCTCACCAAGGCAGAAGAGAGTGAGAATTTCTTTAGGATTGCAGTGGGCATGGTTTGGGTGGGTGGGTGGGGGTGCTGCGAGATGCCCCAGGGTAGTGTGTGTGTTTTTCTTGTCTGGTAAACATCTCCCATCACTCTGAAGCTTCCCTGGATGACTGTGGGTGCTTCTTGGTGGTCACTGTTTTTGAGTGGGATTCAATCACATATTAGCAAATTCAGACGGCACAATTAAAGTTGATTCTGCACTCTTATGCAGCAACTCCTCCTCCCCCCCCAAAAAAACACACATCCTGGACTTTTTGTGATAAGGAAAGTGTTGGGGCATATATGCTGAAATTGAAGATAATGATGGCTTTATGTCCTGTAAGATCACCAGAAACAAAATCAAAATGAATGTTCAGTAGATAACTGGTGCTGTCTAACCTCCCCACAAACTTTGTGTGAACAAATTAGGATAAATGCTGAGTAAACTGCTCAGCGAACTATACTTTCCGATCTGAAAAAATATCAGTTTTACTCCATGCTGTCTCCCCTGAGCTTCCGTGGGGCCTTTTCTTTTCGGGTGGGGGTTTGGTTTCTTGCATTTTCCCCTCACAGAATCTCTCCTAGCTCCACCTTCACAAGTAAGTTAAGCTCATCAAACACCCTGCGGTCTGCCCATGAGAATTTCATCCACATTTTCTCTCCCTTTTGACAGTGTTCCTCATTAATCAATGGAGAATATTTTTAAATCAGAGACTTTTCCAGCAGAGCATTTATGATAAGCCCTGGTTGCCTGGTGACATTTAATAATGTATGAGGTCCAGGACCAGCCTAGAACATCTGAAGAGGAAAACTCAACAATGCCCCCTGATTCCACCCACTCCTCAATGCGGTGTCGAGCTAAAGGGCATAGTATCAGCTTATTTTGGCACCTGAGCCAGAAAATACCACAAGTGCTCACCCTGACAGTAAAATCACAATAATAATACATTCAAGCAACTAACAATTTGCAGTCCTTTCATGACACCCAGAATCAGCTGCCTGAGGCGGCTGCCTCACTCTGCCTAATAGTAGGGCAGGATGAGAGGCCTCTGTTGGAGCCTGGTGGCCTCATTTCTGCAGCACACACTGGTGGGTCAGTGGCCTGGGGGGTATGTGTGCACACCAAACATTTAGATCACATGACTTCTCCCAAAGAATTCTGGGAACTGTAGTGATGTTGTGTGTGTGTGTGTGTGTGTGTTTGCCTATCTGCATTGGATTTCAAATAGTTCTTAAGTAGGTAAAGGTAAAAGGTAAAGGACCCCCGGACGGTTACGTCCAGTCAGAGGTGACTATGGGGTTGCAGCGCTCATCTCGCTTTCAGGCTGAGGGAGCCGGCGTTTGTCCACAGCTTTCCGGGTCGTGTGGCTAGCATGACTAAACCACTTCTGGTGCAACAGGACACTGTGTCGGAAGACAGAGCGCACAGAAACGCCATTTACCTTCCTGCCTCAGCGATACCTATTTATCTACTTGCACTTGACGTGCTTTCGAACTGCTAGGTTGGCAGGAGCTGGGCCAGAGCAACAGGAGCTCACCCCATCGTGAGGATTCAAACCGGTGACCTTCCAATCAGCAAGCCCAAGAGGCTCAGTGGTTTTGACCACAGCGCCATCGACGTCACTACCAAGTATGAAACAGTTCCAACTCTTTTTACACGATACAGTTTTATTTGCTTTCACACATGCCATTGTTTTCGGTATGAAATTCCTTCAATTTATTTTTCATTTGTTTCTGTTTCTGTTGCTATATTGCTTTGGTATACAGTAGTACCTCGGGTTACATACGCTTCAGGTTACAGACTCCGCTAACCCAGAAACAGTGCTTCAGGTTAAGAACTTTGCTTCAGGATGAGAACAGAAATCGTGCTCCGGTGGCGCGGCAGCAGCAGGAGGCCCCATTAGCTAAAGTGGTGCTTCAGGTTAAGAACAGTTTCAGGTTAAGAACAGACCTCCAGAACAAATTAAGTACTTAACCTGAGGTACCACTGTATTGTATAAGAAGTGAACTGTATGCAAAAATAGCAGCAAAGTTTTGAAAATAATATCCTCAATGCCTGAGCCCAACAGGTCCCTCTTTTACCATGGAATTCTATGCATGCTTACTTGGAATAAATCCTGTTGAGTTCCTTTCAAAGTAAATGGGATTTCTTTCTTAGCAAATGACAGGCACAAAATGACAAGCCTGGAAACTAGATGCTTACAAAGGCCAGGCCACACCTCTCACATCCTGCCAGCCATTTGCCCACTTCTCCTACCCACCCGGCACCCAAGTGTGTTTTCTAATTCCTTGCAAAATCTGGGATGAACAAGCCAGCAGTCATCGTTCAGATCACTCTTGGGATACTGGTTGCATTCAGGAAATTGATTCATCCTAAACACCACAGGAGGCATCATAGACCTGGCAATTCTTTGGTCTTTCTTTTGGTTTGCTTTCAATTGTGTCTTGCTCTGAATTTCCTCATCCACTAGAGGCCACTTCTGCCTCGCTAATAAGACAGCTCATAAACCTTCTACGTTGGTCTCATAGGCAGGGACTGCTTTCAGTAAATTGCATACTGTCCAACATTTCTCCGATGAAAATAGGGATGATGATAATAATAATAATAATAATAATAATAATATCCTACCCATCTGATTGGGTTGCCCCAGCCACTCTGGGCAGCTTCCAACACTTATAAAAACATAATAAAGCATTAAACAACTTCCCAATACAGGGCTGCCTCCAGATATGGTTGTGTAATTACTTATCTCCTTGGCACATGACTCCAGACCCTCTGATGAAAATAGGGACGTCCTAAGGAAAAGCGGGAGATTCTGGAATCAAACTGGAAACTGGGACGGCTTCTGTAAATCCAGGACTGTCCCTGGAAAATAGGGACACTTAGAGGGTCTGTGCCTATCATCCCCCCCCCCCCCCGCTTTCTATCCTACCATATCCAGGACGACACATTTGACGCCATGTGCAATTTGATGCTCAGAAGCAATTTACTTCCAGTTTCTGGCTGTTAAAAGAAGAAGAAGAGTTTGGATTTGATATCCCGCTTTATCACTACCCGAAGGAGTCTCAAAGTGGCTAACATTCTCCTTTCCCTTCCTCCCCCACAACAAACACTCTGTGAGGTGAGTGGGGCTGAGAGACTTCAGAGAAGGGTGATTGACCCAAGGTCACCCAGCAGCTGCATGTGGAGGAGTGGAGACGCAAACCTGGTTCACCAAATTATGAGTCTACGGCTCCTAATCACTACACCACACTGGCTCTCTATGAGGTGTATAGGAACCTTGTCCTGCAGATGCCCACCTTTCACGTCTATCACAGCGATGCAGAATGGAAGCGCACATGTTTTCATGGGCCAGTGCAATGGGGCTGCCCCATTTTGTGGGGTGGTGGAGTGAAATAGCAGGAACTTTAATCTGGAAACACCCTTGGGCTGAGATGGTCAATTGGCTGGTCAGATATCGCTGACTGGTCTGTCTATGATTTCACAAGCTTTGACTGTGGTCAAATATTCCAGGAAGCCAAGGCAGGCCTTGTGTAGGTGTCAGACTCCATCCTTAATTGCATCACCAGATCACCTGACTGTAATGTCAGGAATGTGGTCTCCTTGCTCTTGCAAGATTCAGGCTTGATTCACCACACATATGCTCACCTTTCCTTTTTGAGGAGCAGGAGCTTCTTGGCACTTTATGCTACAATAAAGACATTAATCATTGATCTTCTTTGTATTTTATACTTGTCGCATGTTTCTTGTTTCATTGAATTTTTTTAAAATGTTGCTAATTGTTTGTGGCTTTCCCTGGGATCCCGTGATAAAGATCAGGAGCTGTTCAATCTCTGGAACTCAGTTAAATATTGCAGATGGTGTCTAATGAGAAAAGAAACCCTCACAACAGTCTACTAAGAAAATTGAACAAAACCCATAGGTTTTGTCTTGCTTACTTCAGGTCTTGGACATAGCAGGAGGAATCCCAACCAAACATATGGAGAAGAACTCCTTCAGAACTACACAGCCAATCAGAGTACATGCTACCTCGGTAGAGATCATGTGATTCTGCCTGGTTGCTAGGCAATACCTCACCCCGTTTAGCCGACTTGCTGATAACAGAATTAACCCTTACGTTACAAACTGAATGATTGCTGCTGTCACACTTCTAACAGTTCCCAGGGATTTATATTTGCGTAACATTGTTATAAATACTAATGGATTACGCCTGTTTAGAATGTAACCTCATTGGCTTATGACACCTTTTTAAATTTTTTTTATTAATTTGCATAATCTTTTCATGGGGATCATTCTAATAAATGAATTCCTTTAAGCCTGAGCCAGAACAACATGAGAAGACATTGCATGGGCAAATCCCATCTTCCATTGGATGATGTGATGTCATTGGGATGCCTATGTGATCCCTGATTGGCTGGAAGTCAGCATCATCTCAGTTAGAAGCCAGTGATGCTGTTTTTTTAAAAATAACACCACGGATGCAGCTCAGAGAAAGAAGCAGCTGGGAGCGGCATGCAAAGAATGAAAATTTTGGTTCTTGAATACCTAAGGTAAAGGGTAAAGGGACCCCTGACCATTGGGTCCAGTCGTGGCCGACTCTGGGGTTGTGGCGCTCATCTCGTTTTATTGGCCAAGGGAGCCGGCGTACAGCTTCCAGGTCATGTGGCCAGCATGACTAAGCCGCTTCTGGTGAACCAGAGCAGTGCACAAAGCGCCGTTTACCTTCCCACCAGAGCAATACCTATTTATCTACTTGCACTTGACGTGCTTTCGAACTACTAGGTTGGCAGGAGCAGGGACCGAGCAACGGGGGCTCACCCCGTTGTGGGGATTCGAACCGCCGACCTTCTGATCGGCAAGTCCTAGGCTCTGTGGTTTAACCCACAGTGCCACCCGCGTCCCAGTTCTTGAATACCTACCCCCCCCAAAAAAAGAGAGATCCAGTGTGTTGTAGTGATCAGAGTGTTGGACTAGGATCTGGGAGATCAGGCTTCAAATCTCCACTCCACCATGAGGCTCATGGAATGACCTTAGGCCCGTCACTGTCTCTCAGCCACTCCTACCTCACAGGGTTGCTGTGGGGCTTAAATGAGGAGGGGAGGAGAACTATGAGCTCCTAGGAGGGGGGGGAGGGGGATATAAATGCAACAAGTAAATAAATAATAATAAAATACTTTGGTGAAGCCCTAAATTCTTTAACCATGTGGCCACTGTTTGGCAATGTTCGATTGGTCCATCGACCTAGTTAATTTTCAATGGTCAAATGATCAGCTCTGATGCACCCTGCCCTGGGGACAAGGCAGTTCCTTCCAGGACACAGAAGCATTACTAAGACTGGCAACCACGAGATGCTTCCTTTCCACCTTGTTCGGTCACATTTACACCATACATTTAAAATGCATGGATTCTGCCCCCCCCCCGCAAAGAATTCTAGGAACAAATTTACAGACTGTTCCCTGTTGAAGGAGAATTATATGAAGATGATGTATAGATGGTATATGACACCAGTGCAGTCAGGGAAAATGTACAAAACTAGTTCAAATATATGTTGAAAGTGTAAGGAAAAGGAGGGGACATTTTAGCATATGTGGTGGGATTGTAATGTAATTAAAAATTTTTGGGAAATGATATACAGTGAATTGAAGAAAATGTTCCACTTAACATTTGTTAAAAAACCTGAAGCATTTTTGTTAGGGATCGTAGGGAAAGACCTGCCAAAAAAGTTGAAAAACATCTTCATGTGTGTGACAACAGCCGCAAGAGTCCTAATAGCACAAGAATGGAAGACTGAAGAAATTCCAACTAAAGAATCATGGCAAGAGAAACTGATGGACTACGCAGAACTGGCAAAATTGACACATAAGCTACGGGACAAGGATAACTGTGACTTCAAAGATGAATGGGAACCCTTTACAAGGTATCTGAAGACGCAACAAAATGAATTAGACTCTTTGGCAGGTTTTGAATAAACACTCACAAACTCTTTATTGACAATAATTAGTTAGATAATTTAAGGATTTCTACAACTTTGTAACGTGCAGAGAATAGCATTTACAGAGAAACCAAAGATTGGAACTGAGGGAAGTCGGGGTGGGTTTCGTATGGGGGGGGGGGAGGAAAATGGGAAAAAACTAAGGATGATGTATTTTTTGATATTATGTTTTGTTTAAATTTCTAATAAAATATTATTTAAAAAAAGAATTCTAGGAACTGTAGTTTGTTAAAAGTGCTGGGGAGCTGTAGCTCGCGCGGGGGGGGGGGGTAAACTACAGTTCCCAAGATTCCTTAGGGGAAGCCATGTGCTTTAAGCGTAAGATGTGGACGTGGACCTCCCCTCCAACGCACTGTCCCCAGCTTGCAAAATGACCAGCCGCTTCCTTTGCAATGTACCTGCCTTCCAACAAGCAGGAATTTACCCGGGACCTTTTGCAGGCAAACCTGATGCTCTGTCGTGGCGCTACCGCCCATCCCGTGCTCCCCGCACCTCCCTTATTTCCCTCGGCTCTCTCTTCAAAACCCACAATTTCCGTGAAGCCTTGGGCGCAGCTCCTTAATCCCCGTCCGCAGCTGGAACGAAGTACGTGCAACTGACAAACCCCTGCATTTCCCCGCTCCCTCACGTTCTGATCTAGACTGTAAGATTATCAGGGCAGGGACCTGCCGTCCTCTTGCATGTTTGCAAAGCATCGTTCACGTTGATGGCACTGCGCTGTGGGGAGGATCAAGGCTGGAACGCAACCCCACCAACCCCCTGGAAAAGTCACGATCTGCACCCCTCCCCAACCCCAGTTTCTCTAACTTCATTGGGTTCTGTTCCTGCATTTCCAAGCATATTTCTGCAACCCTGCGGGCTCAAAGATTTGGCAAAGGCTCGGATTACGCCTGGCATTGAGCCCACAATTGGCCCTTAGGATTTTTTGGTTCTTAAATAGCAGACCCTCCAAGTGCCCCTATTTTCCATTTAGAGAAAGCCGTCCCGGTTTCGGATTTGATCCTGGAATGTCCCACTTTTCCTTAAGACACCCCTATTTTCATTGGAGAAATGTTGGAGAGTATGGTAGGATGTCCCTATTTTCATCGGAGAAATGTTGGAGGGTATGGAGTTATCCAAACCCCAAGCTGTCTGAAGGCAATCCTGTCTAGGGAAGGGTTTTTTAAAAAATAAAAATAAAAAATGCTTTATTGTGTTTTTACATACAGCGGTATCATGGGTTACATATGCTTCAGGTTACATACGCTTCAGGTTACAGACTCCGCTAACCCAGAAATAGTGCTTCAGGTTAAGAACTTTGCTTCAGGATGAGAACACAAATCGTGCTCTGGCGGTGCGGTGGCAGCAGGAGGCCCCATTAGCTAAAGTGGTGCTTCAGGTTAAGAACAGTTTCAGGTTAAGTACGGACCTCCGGAACGAATTACTGTAAGTACTTAACCCGAGGTACCACTGTATGTTGGAAGCCGCCCAGAGTGGCTGGGGCAACCCAGTAAGATGTGTGGAGTATAAACAGTAAAATTATCATTATGGAATGGGACGTCCCTATTTTCATTGGAGAAATGTTGAAGGGTATGAAATAGCAACCTAGAGGGGAAATTTAGATCAGGTCCACTGCATGGGGGATGAGAGGGATTTAATCCTTGCCCCTATTGCCAACCTGATCTGGATTTCCTGAGCCCCATAGCTGGCATTTGCTCCCAGGAGAAACTGGTGCGACCGATCTGAACAGGTTCTGATGCTTGCATTTACAGCAACTGCTTTTACATAACCCAGGCTTCATGCTCCCTTTCCCACCGTAGTGTTGAGCCTCTGCTGATCAACAGCTCCCAGCTCCACCATGCATAACCCTCCTTCCGTCTGCTCCAGATTCTTCCCCTGTGTAATTTTCCCTGCGTCACTCGACAAAGCTATGATTTGCCAGGGAGTACTGAGTGTGGCGTAGCAAACAGGGTGATTATGTGGCCTACTTTACAAAGGGCAAGCTCTCTGTTGGAAGGGTTCTGCAATAAAGATAGACATTCAGAAGAGAACAAGGACCTTAAAAGCTGTCAGTCAATGATACCTGGGATAAACATGTGCTCACAGGTGCCCTGGCCCTTAATCAGTATGGGTACCAATTGATAAGAGTCTTGAATTTGAATGATTGTTCAATCCATGTCCAAATTAAAGACAATGGATCCCAAACCCTCTAACATCTCTCTGATGAAAATAGGGACATCCTAGGGGACGCGGGTGGCGCTGTGGGTTAAACCACAGAGCCTAGGACTTGCTGATCGGAAGGTTGGCGGTTTGAATCCCCGCAACGGGGTGAGCTCCCATTGCTCAGTCCCTGCTCCTGCCAACCTAGCAGTTCAAAAGCACGTCAAAGTGCAAGTAGATAAATAGGTACCGCTCCGGCGGGAAGGTAAACGGCGTTTCCATGCACTGCTCCGGTTGGCCAGAAGCGGCTTAGTCATGCTGGCCACATGACCCGGAAGCTGTACGCCGGCTCCCTCGGCCAATAAAGCGAGATGAGCGCCGCAACCCCAGAGTCGACCTAATGGTCAGGGGTCCCTTTACCTTTACCTTTTACTTCATCATCACTTGGAGTGTCCGGCATAAGGACCAGCAGGTATTATGTGATATGATATGAGCCTGGAGAGCCGGGGTTTGCTGGGAGGGTGGGAGAGAAGGCCATGGAAGCTTTGAAGGTAGTCAGTGCCAAGATTTAAGGAGAAGCAGGAGACATTAGGAGGAAGGGAGAAAACCGGGGTATCGGTTTTATTTGCTTTGCACAATTCTGCCTCCCTTGGCACACAATGTGGATTGACCCATGGATCTTGTAGCGCAGGGAATAATCATCTCTGCCTATGGCACACCTTTGGAGTGCGGCTGGATGCCCTGGCAACAGTCTCGCCATCTCTTTCCGAGGCTTGGCCTTTGGGAATTTGTTGCCACTGCTGTTCTTGCCCGTTTTGTTGTGTTGCCACGTCCGAGCCAATGTATCCAGCAGAAGGCCTTGGATTGTGCGTGCGTGCATGAGTGTGCGTGTGTGTGTTTCGGTGTGCGCGCATGCATCTGTGAGCCGCTGGAACATCTCGCAAGCACATTTCTCCCTCAGAAAGGGGTTATTTTAGTTCCTCGCCACCCACGGCGGATGATGTCAAGCGCATCAGCCAGGATGCTGGACAAACTTCTTTTTAAAGATAGATCGGGGATGGGTTGTGTAGGCTGTTGCCAAGTGCATTTTAGAGCTGGATTGTTACCACAGGTAGCAGCAAGTCCTGAAGGGAAAGAGAACGCCAAAGATTTATGGGGCTCCAGAATATTTTTCCAAAGCAGCAGCAGCAGAGGCAGTGTCTCCCTTCCTCCCTCCCTCCGTGTGTATTCATTCATTCAGATTTCCTCGCTTATAAAATGAAACCAAAATTGGCATTTAATACAATATCTGGCAACAGTATCTCCCCACTCTGCTAACTACCTGAGATTCCTTTTTTAAAGGAGTTGCTTAAACTTGGCAGCAGTGCTTTTTTTTCTTGGGGGGTGTGTATGCAGGGGTACGCATACCCCTAAACATTTTGTGAATCTTTCTACAGTGGTACCTCGGGTTACATACGCTTCAGGTTACATACGCTTCAGGTTACAGACTCTGCTAAACCAGAAATAGTACCTTGTGTTAAGAACTTTGCTTCAGGATGAGAACAGAAATCGTGCTCTGGCGGCGCGGCGGCAGCAGGAGGCCCCATTAGCTAAAGTGATGCTTCAGGTTAAGAACAGTTTCAGGCTAAGAACGGACCTCCGGAACGAATTCAGTACTTAACCCGAGGTACCACTGTATTTGGGTTAGTAGTGGTGTTATTATCAGAGGCTGATTTAGGGGAGCGTGACTGATTCTCCAGCACTGGGCGCCATAACAATGACTTACAACGGAAGGAGAAAGGCGGGGGACGGGAGGTGCCAAAGTTTGGTGTTGCACAGGACCCTGCTAAAATTTGAAAGCACAAAGTCTGCCACTGGTTATTATGCTCCTAGTGATTAGATTGAATTTGTCTAAATAGGTCAGGCATTGTTGTTATTATGGAGTTGGAAGGGTTCTGCAATACAGACATTCAGAAGAGAACAAAGACCTTAAAAGTTAAGGTTTAGCCCCATTAGCTAAAGTGATGCTTCAGGTTAAGAACAGTTTCAGGTTAAGAACGGACCTCCAGAACAAATTAAGTGCTTAACCCGAGGTACCACTGTACTTTTGTCCATTTACTGTATTTGTTTTTCCTGATTTGAACTATAAAATGGTGATTTTCTGGAGTCAAAATGAGAGCACCCCAAACATATTTTTAAAGGGGGAAAAAGCACTGCTTGCAGTGCTTGCAAGAAGGCACGCGATCTACCAAAGTAGGTTAAGCTCTGCTCCCTCTTGTCCTTTGTGATCCACCCCAGCTCTGTCTTCTTCTCCTTTGCTTCCTATTCTTCTCCTGTCTACGTGGGGGAGAGAGAGAGAGACAGGCCTCTGGGATCAGTTCACCTCTTTAGGGCAAGGAGACATCTAGGCTCCCTCCTGCAGCAATCTGAGCCTCTGCCTTGATCTCGGCAGAAAGGCTGGGGCAGCCCAAGGGGCGGGGGCAGACAAGGGTGCTGATGGGGTAGGAGTGGCTTCCCTTTGTTCTCTTGCAACCTCCCCCACCTTGGGCGGAAAACGAAAACCTGCACGGAGGGGAGAGTCGAGTGAAGATTCTTCCCTCTCTGCCGGAGGGGATCCTTTCTAAACTTTGCAAGGGAAGAAAGAAGACAAACTGGCGCATAATACACGCCTGCGTTTTCTTTTGATCGGGAGCGGTTATAACTGGAAGTAGGCGCAACGTCGCTAATAGGCTGGAAATGCTGGACTTGGGAAAAGAGACACCCCACACGGTGTCACAGGTCCTCATTCGGCCTTTGACTCAGTTCTTCATCTGTGAAATGGGCATCTTACGATATGAGCACAGGTGCGCTGGAATGTTGCTGAGTGGAGTGTTCTTCCTGTTCTAGCCAACCATACATACTCTCTCAGGATATTTTAATCCATTTCCTCTCTGCTGTGGTGTCCCATCATCCCTGCACCCCAAAAGCCACTTAGCATCTTGTGGCTACTAAACCTGCACAGTCTTCACTTAAAAGGTAAAGGTAAAGGGACCCCTGACCATTAGGTCCAGTCGTGACTGACTCTGGGGTTGCGGCGCTCATCTTGCTTTATTGGCCGAAGGAGCCGGCGTACAGCTTCCGGGTCATGTGGCCAGCATGACTAAGCCGCTTCTGGTGAACCAGAGCAGCGCATGGAAATGCCGTTTACCTTCCTGCCGGAGCGGTACCTATTTATCTACTTGCACTTTGATGTGCTTTCAAACTGCTAGGTGGGCAGGAGCAGGGACTGAGCAACGGGAGCTCACCCTGTCAAGGGGATTCGAACCGCCGACCTTCTGATCGGCAAGTCCTAGGCTCTGTGGTTTAACCCACAGCGTCACCCGCATCCCTCACTTAGTCCTCACTTAGACCTCAGCAAATTAGTGCCCATGGATGCAGCCACCTATAGGGGACCATGAAGGTTCTTCATGTTTGCCAGCTTCTTTCCAGGCTGTACTGGTGGGATTCCTGTGTTGTTGTTATTGTTGTCGCAGGGCTGACATTTGGGTTGGGCATTGCCTGGCACCTTGCAAGCCCCATTCTCCTCCTGTTCCAGGTTGGGACTCATTCAGGCAAAGAGTTGATGAGTGGTGCAGGTCAGGCAGCTGAGGATCAGGACCATGGAGAGCGACAAAGAGCCCTAGGCCATGGCAACACAACTGTTGACCCTTCTGGTCTGCCTGTTCCTTGCAGCCATAACCTGCCTACCTGCCTTCAACGGGCATGCATGCAGAGATGGGCATGTGAGATGGCGCCATCTCTTCCACCTGCTTTGCACCCTGGGCTTGGGCACAGAAGAAGAGGGGGTATGAAAGGGCAACAGTGGCCACGTTAGAGTCCACTTAGGGAGGATCCACCTTGCCCATGCATTGGCATCACCACAGCTGGACTACTGTAAGGTGCAATATGTGGGGCTTCCCTTGAGACTGTTCCAGAAGCTACAGCTGGCGCAAGACACTGTGGCTGGGTTGTTGAGTGGAATACCCGAATGCTTACACAGTGGGTGGCACTGTGGTCTAAACCACTGAGCCTCTTGGGCTTGCTGATTGGAAGGTTGGCAGTTCAAATCCCCGTGATGGGGTGAGCTCCCGTTCCTCTGCCACAGCTCCTGACAACATAGCAGTTCGAAAGCACACCAGTGCAAGTAGATAAGTAGGTACCTCTGTGGTGGGAAAATAAACAGCGTTTCCGTGTGCTCTGGTTTCCGTCATGGTGTCCCGTTGCACCAGAAGCAGTTTAGTCCTGCTGGCCACATGACCCAGAAAGCTGTCTGTGGACAAATGCCAGCTCCCTCGGCCTGAAAGTAGATGAGTGCCACAACCCCATAGTCGCCTTTGATTAGACGTAACCGTCCAGGAGTCCTTGACCTTTACCTTTTTACACCTGCGTTGAGGGAACTGCACTGGCTGCTGATTAGCAACCAGGTCGTGCTGGTATCAGCTAAAACCCTGAGCAATTCAGCAGGTTATCTGAATTGAATATAACCTCTGTATAGGATCATTTAGCTCATGTGGTAAAATGGGGCTCAGAGCACTGTGCCTGACAGAGTATCACAGAGCAGGCACCCCCCCCCCCCCAAATGGACATTTTCTGCCACTGCACGGTGGAATGCCTTTCCATCTACCGCATGGGAAGCATCATCTGTCAGTTGCTTCAGATGTCTTGTAAAGGCAAATGTTTCCCCCCAGGTTTTCCTTGAACCCAAAGCATTGGACCCTGTCATTACTGAATTCCTGGTTTTATTTGATTTTCTTAAAAAATCACACACACACTTTGCAGGCTTATACATTTCACTAATTTTACAACCATTTTGACATTTTAAAACTTGCCTTCCTCCCCCCCCCCTTCTACAGTTCCTTAAATTTATTTTTAATATCTTCTGCATATCCAAATTAATTTGCTCATTTATTCATCTTCTTTAAATATATACTGCAGGTTATTACAGTGGTACCTCGGGTTAAGTACTTAATTTGTTCCGGAGGTCCGTTCTTAACCTGAAACTGTTCTTAACCTGAAGCACCACTTTAGCTAATGGGGCCTCCTGCTGCTGCCACGCCGCTGGAGCACGATTTCTGTTCTCATCCTGAGGCAAAGTTCTTAACCTGAAGCAATATTTCTGGGTTAGCGGAGTCTGTAACCTGAAGCGCATGTAACCTGAGGTACCACTGTACAACAATCCTGCCAATATTCTTATCTGCTTACAATTTACCTGCAAATATTCCACAAACCATTTCCATTATTTTATTTAAAAAGTTTGTTATCTTGATTTCTTATTCTCCCAGTAAGTTTCACCATTTCTGCATATTCCAGGTTTTATCTGATTTTCTAATACTGTTTTATTTTAGTGGTTTTCCTGTTGTATCCCTGTTTCTATGTATCTCTTTGTTTTTATGTTGTCTTTTCCTCTGCTTAGAGATTTTGATATTAATAAGCAAGGTCACCCCTGCCCCCCGCCCTGCTGAAAGATCGTGAGTTACCTTGTCTCGCCCTTTTTGCCCACATCTCCTATTTAATTTTTCTACCACCGAGACTCCTGTGGCACCAACGATTCTGAATTATAATATATTTTGTGTGCCTGCATCCTGGCTTAGCTGAAGTTTTGGGTGGGGTCCCTTCTAGCATGGAGGTGTGCATATATATATATATATATATATGATGAACTGTCAGACTGAGACAGACAGATCAAGGAGACAGGTAGAGTCAGGCCTCTGACAGGTGAATGGATGAAAGAGCAGCTTCTGCCAGTATAGCAAATCCATTGAAGTTTTTATAATCTTCCCCAAATTCACATCTCTTTCACACATCGTCAGATGCCAGGAGGTTTCAGCTTGAATTAGGTGAGGGATGCATGTGTACCTTGCAGGAGAATCGGATTGTGGAAAAGTTTGTTCTCGTCTCCGCCAAGTACAGTTATATGTGCAGCTCTGAGTCAGAACTTTGCTCCATCTCGTGCAAAGCTGACAGCGAAATTAAGAGATCAAAAACGATGAACTTTTTTTTTTAATAGAAGAATGGAGTATTTTTTAAAAAATTATTACAGCCAAATGAAATTGTGAGATAAAAGCAGGAGGAGAAAAACGATAAGATAATTGTAATAGTAGAGAAACTTTTTGTAATAAAGATATAATGCAGTAGAAAATGTTTGAGGGGAAAAAACACTGTGGAGGTGAGAGTGGGAAGCCAACTTACAAAATAATGCAATTATTTGATTTGAAGGTTATTGTGAAAATGTTTGAAAAATTTAATAACAAGTTGTGTGTGTGTGTGTGTGTGTGTGTGTGTGTGTGTAAAGGTAAAGGACCCCTGGATGGTTAAGTCCAGTCAAAGACGACTATGGGTTTGTTGCACTCATCTTGCTTTCAGGCCGAGGGAGCTGGCCTTTGTCCACAGACAGCTTTCCAGGTCATGTGGCCAGCATGAATAAACCGCTTCTGGTTCAATGAAACACCGTGATGGAAACCAAAGCTCATGGAAACACCGTTTACCTTTCTGCCACAGCGGTACCTATTTATCTACTTGCACTGGTGTGCTTTCGAACTGCTAGATTGGCAGGAGCTGGGACAGAGCAACAAGAGCTTACTCTGTCATGGAGATTCAAACTGCTAACCTTTTGATCGGCAAGCCCAAGAGGCTCATTGGCTTAGACCACAGCACTACCCGCATCCCACGTTTTGTACACACACACAAATATATGAGAAGAACTTTTCTTCATCGCCACCTCTGCTTCTGCCTCCAGCTTGTGGCGGACCTAGTTGAGCTGTCGCTGCTGAGAAAACATCACTTTATGGACCAGCTTGCATAGGAGCTGAGCTGTTGCACAGCCATTTGGGACGGATCATGCAGCTTAACTCTCGTCAAGTCTCGTTGGCTCATTATAACTGCCAACGGTATGGGTGGAGAACTGCATGTTTGCAGCCCGCTAAGGCGAGCTTTGGCTTTGCAAGGGTCAAGTTGCGCGATCCAACCCGGAAGTGTTGCAAGAGTTTGACCTCTCTGCGAGAAGTGGCATGCACATGCTAGAAGATTTCAGCTGCAATTCAGTTAAGAACAGAACATATAGGCAGAGACTTCCAAGTCAAGCCCTGATCCAGAGACCTACAAGTGCATCAGCTTCCACACTTATCAGATGGCCGGTATGCCCAGTTTGGATGGAGACAGTTGGCTATTCAGCAAGGAAGAGTCCTGATCGAAGCTGCATGTGTAGCATTAGGTCTCTGTATCCAAGAATTTATCCTTGAGTTTGCATGTGCAGATTCTGTTTACATATGCTGTCTCTGGGGCTAATGCATCTCACCCTTATGAAACGGGAGTGCAAGTCTCCTTCTGGGCTTTCAGCGACAACACCAGGAACCTAAATATTTCGAGATTTGCCTCAGTATAGGATAAATTGTGTAGTTTGTGTCAAGATGATCAGTTCCTGGCCTCCTCTCTGGTCATTTCCGTCTCCTTGCTGGCTGCTGCCTGAAAAAGACAGGTGCCCTAGCTCGAATTTGTCCATGTTTGGTAGAGATTGGGCACTTGGTAGTTGGAGGGAAAGAACTCTGCACGTGGCCAGAGGCATTCCTTTCATTGCGGCAGCACAGGTTACTCCCAGTTACAACAGCAATTTTATGTTGTGATTGCCCTGAGATCCACAGGTATAGGGCTGTATACAAATAACAACAACAACAATTGCCTTAGTCACCTTGTCCTCCTGTTTTGGGAGTCCCTAGGGATGTATGGAAGTGAGAGCTGGACCATAAAGAAGGCTGATCACCGAAGAATGGATGTTTTTGAATTATGATGATGGAGGAGACTCTTGAGAGTCCCATGGACTGCAAGAAGATCAAACCTCTCCATTCTGAAGGAAATCAGCCCTGAGTGCTCACTGGAAGGACAGATCCTGAAGCTGAGATTCCAGTACTTTGGCCACCTCATGAGAAGAGAAGACTCCCTGGAAAAGACCCTGATGTTGGGGAAGATGGAGGGCACAAGGAGAAGGGGACGACAGAGGACGAGATGGTTGGACTGTGTTCTTGAAGCTACCAAAATGAGTTTAACCAAACTGCGGGAGGCAGTGGAAGACAGGAGTGCCTGGCGTGCTCTGGTCCATGGGGTCACGAAGAGTCGGGCACGACTAAACGACTAAACAACAAAGGGACTCCTCATTCTCCTTTACCTTCCTTTCACCCCTATAAATCATCAACCCATGCTGGCATCAGATATGAGGGCACCCTGGGCATCCTGGTAACACCCCATTAATTATCAGTGTGGCAGGAGGTGGCAGTGAGCAGCAGCAGCAAGGACAGGTGGCAGGACATTTCTCAGTGCTTCAAAGAGAAATACCAAGCTTTTTTTTTTTAATGGGGCAGGCCTCATCATGTGTAGCTCCTCTGGCATTTGCGCCATCGTGCTGACGCTGGGCCTCTTCTCAGCTCATCTGCCCGCCCTATTGCCCCAGCACTGTTCATAAGGTCTCCAGCAGAGAGAAACCATCTCTTCTGCATTTGTACAGCGCCTAGCACCCGGGCAGCGCTATGTAAAACAATCGCGCGCTGCGTTCGGCGGCTGAGGCGACTGGCAAAACGCATCGTGCCTGCACTCTCCGCAACCTCTGGTCGTCGCTCGGAGTTTGAGGGCGACGGGACGCTCTTGATGTTGCCTTTTTTAATTTTTTGGCTCGTCGGAGATGTTGAGAGCCGCGGTAATAAACGTAGGTGAAAGAAAGGGTGTTGCTGTTGAAAAGCTGGCTCCTCCCAGGGTTTTCTCCTGCTGCTGCTGCTGCCTTTCTTCCCCGTCCAAAATCTCGCTGGGCACATCCCATGCCTAACCGCAGACAGATTGAAAATCCTTGACGGGAAGTTCTCTCGGCATCGCCGGGCGTGTCAGGACGGGGCCGGCCCCATCTGAGTGTCTCCGTGTCACCTATCAATCCCGGAGCCGCCTGCAGCAGTGGGGGGAATCTCGGGTTACTCGAGAGGAGCCGCTTGCAGGCTCAGCGTGGTGGCGACGGCGGCTCCAGCCGCGCAGGAGGCAATCTACCTTGAGCTTCAATAAAAAGAGAGAGCGAGAGAGAGAGGGAGGGAGGGAGGCTGGGAGGCCTTTGATCTCGCCGCCCAGTCTGTGGCACTGGGAGACATCCGTGCGCAAATGGGTAGAGGAGAAGGGAGGTGGTTGGACATCCTAAGCAGCCCCTTAAGCCAGCTTCTCCCCTGTCCTCGCCCCCCACCCAAAAAATAAAATCAAAGGGGGTGGGTCTGGCACCTGTGATGAAAGAAGGAGGCATGAATACCTGCCAGCAGCCTCCTCCTCCTTCTCCCAAAGGCAGGGATGGCTCCAGGAAAGGTGGGACCGGATGGCTGGGAATGCCAAGAGCTTTAGGTCACCTGGTAAGCATCTAGGCTGGGAGGATTTGGGGGCAAAGGGTGGGAGAAGAAGGATGACGAGCTTCCCACATCGCAAGGTGGCCTGCAAGAGCCCAGAATCACTGAATCGTAGAGTTGATACAATACGATAAAGGTCCAGATACCATTAGGTTCAGTCGTGGCTGACTCTGGGGTTGCGGCGCTCATTTTGCTTTATTGGCCAAGGGAGCCAGCGTACAGCTTCCGGGTCATGTGGCCAGCATGACTAAGCCGCTTCTGGCCAACCAGAGCAGCGCACAGAAACGCCGTTTACCTTCCCGCCAGAGCGGTACCTATTTATCTACTTGCACTTTGATGTGCTTTTGAACTGCTAGGTTGGCAGGAGCTGGGACCGAGCAATGGGAGCTCACCTCGTCACGGGGATTCGAACTGCTGACCTTCTGATTGGCAAGTCCTAGGCTCTGTGGTTTAACCCACAGTGCCACCCGCGTCCCTTGATAAGATACGATAATCTTTAATTGTCATTGTCCCATACAGAACAACGAAATTGAAAAAATCTACATCAGATATTCAAAAACCAACAAGCCTACTATCCCAGCTATCCCAACCTGGTGAACCCCCTAAAAACTCTGATACCCCTTAATTAAATACAATATGCTCCCATAGAGACTACCTTACACTGCGTTTAAAACCAAAATCGCATTTGGATAGAAACTGTTTCTCAGGCGGCTAGTCCTAGTCTTTAGAACCCTGTACCTTCTTCCAGGGTGTGCAGTATCCTGCGCTATCTCTGCAGCTTTCTTATGACAGTTGGAAGGGACCATGAGGGTCATCTAGTCCAACCCCCTGCAAGGCCCAACGTAGCACTCGAACCCACAACCCTGAGATTAAGAGTCTCGTGCTTTACCAGTCTGAGCTGTCCCTGGCTCTTCTGGGGAGCCAGGAGTCTCAAGCAGGCTTTCCCACAGAGGTGGGGCCTAAAACACACAATATCGCCTGTGTGTACACCGAATAGTGCTTCATGTCCAAAAAGAAAGAGGAAATCACGCCTTCTGACCAAGGACCTGAATCTGTTTATTGCTGATTCCTGCATTGCAGGGGGTTGGACTAGATGACCATTGGGGTCCCATCCACTTCTACGAGTCTAGTGGGAATGGCACACTTGCATGCTTGCAGGCACCCTTCTGTCCTGAAAACTTTGCATTTTCTGGGATTGAGCTCTGTCACTAAAATGCTACAGGATGTGCTCTGGACTATTAAAATTTGGGGCCCAGTTGTCTATATATGCACTCTAGGGGGCAGGGATCCCTTTGAGCATGCAGAATTCTCCACACAGAAGCCTCACGGGCTAGATCAAGGGGTACTTTTGCTATCTGTTGCCTTCAGGATACTTTCCTGTCTATGTCGTTAAGTATGGAGGAAGCTACTAAATACAGCAAAATAAACAAATCCCCATGTCTCTAGATTGTCTGGAATGGAAATACTTAATAGAAGTATTAACCAGCACAAAATTCGGCCGTAACTTCCTACAAATCTTTAGACTCTAAGGCTTCAGCTAAAATTGGAACCGACAATTCGGACTCCAACACCGTAGAAATTCAAAGAGTCACAAAACAAGGGTGTCCATTGTCCCCCATTCTATTCATCTTGGCCCTCGAACCCTTAACGTCTCCTGAAATCAAAGGGGTGGGAATAAAGGGCAAAACCTACAAACTTGGGCTCTTTGCAGATGACCTAATGGTCACAACCCCAGGCCCACATAAACGTAGCAACCACTTTATCCAAAGAACTTAACACCTTCGCAATGGTTTCAAGTCTACAGGTGAACTCTGCAAAATCTGGAGGGGAAAGTGGGGAGGTCTGCTTTGAACAGACGGCAGAGTTAGGAATGTGGGCGGTTCAAAGAATTTCAAGCTAAGAACAGTATTCTCCCACTTGCTTCTCCAAAATGCTTCTTCTAGATCTGCATCATAAAAGGGCAGGTCATTTATTTTGTATATTACACTGGGTCAAGTTCAAGGTGTTACTGCTAGTATATACTGCTTGATACCTTGGGAACAGCTGACTTGCTGGACTGCCTTACCTCTTCAATGCCCACTTGACAGGGGTGTGTGGTCATTGGACTTGGGGGACTAGACTAGTCCCCTAAATGTTCCCGGTAACATTAAAATATTAATGCTTGGAGCTTTCTTCCCAAAGCCCAGGAAGCTTCTGCCCAGCTTGGAAAGGCGTGATGCTCACATACGCAACTTCACTTCCCGAAATCATTCTTCATTCTAGCACTGTGGCAGGTTCCATACTTCTAAGAAATGAATCTCTTAGCCAAACTTTGGAACTCCCTGCCCGCAGCAGGGAGACCTTCTCTCTATTCCTTTTGGTGCCTCCTTAAAACCGTTTTGTTCAGGCAAGTCTACCCAGACAGGTAGAATGCTGACATGTGTTTTTAATCTTGTTTGTTTACTGTTGATTTTAATTATCTCAATGCTTTGAAAGACCTGCTTCTAACTGCCTTTTGGAAAAACCACTTACAGGTTTCATCGCAATCCCATACACAAATACAATGCACATATCAGGGGGAAATGTTTGCAGAAATGATAATGGGAATATAACAAATAAAAAATCCGTTATATTAGGAGAAACCGCTTGCAACAATGTGTTTGCTGGGAGAAATTCGCCCCAAAATGGTGAAGAATTTTCATGGGGATTAAATTTTTTTACAAAAAGAATTCGCAAATTGCTGCAGAAATGTGGAAAGCTGGATTTTAAAATGAGAAACAGAGAGAACCAGAGCTGACAGGTCCCTATTGTCCCTACCAGTGACGTGCTTGAGTGCAAGGGAAGCAAAAGCCATCAGGTGGGAAGTTGGAAGGAAGAACCAACGACAATGAAAGGATGGAGCGACAAGTTCCCAACTCCAAAATTCTACCGCACTCCAAATGCCCCCTTCTGAACCCTTCTTTTATGTCCACACAAAATAACATCAAGATTCCCTTATGCAAAGTGGCAGGTAACATCTAGATAGTCCCATCACAGTTAATTAAGCAGGGGCTCAGTCAGTTAGAGCATGAGACAGTAGATTCATGCATTGTGGGGGGTTGGACTAGATTAAGGTTACCAGATTTTTTTCAACGAATCTGGGGACACCTTACAACTACAGTAGGAATGATAGGATTTTGTCAGGGGACTGATTTGTAAATCCAGGGACTGTCCCTGGCAAACGGGGACGTCTGGTAACCTTAGACTAGATGACTCTCATGCTCCCTTCCAACTCTACAGTTCTAAGATTCTAGGAAGGGACATTTTGTCATGCTTGGTGGATGTTTAAAAGAGCCAGAAAATATTGGATACAAATGCGTACATTGATACAGAGAATTTTGAAGATTAACTTTCAAGCCAGAATTCGTCCTGCTGGGACTTATACAGACATACCGTTGGAAAAGGGCTATGGATGTTTGCTTCAATATATACTTATCCATACTCAATGTGTCCCACAGTTCAGTACTGGATCAAATTATGCCTTGCTTCTGCTTGCTTTCCTGTATATATAATTTTTATTAACTTTTCTGTTTTACAATTTAGAATACGCATTTAAGCAACCTTAAAATGTCAATAACTTCCCTTCTTCTCGTTCCATGGTTCATTTTGCATACCATAAATCACTGCATATTTTACATAAATGAAACCATTCAGCATTCCATTATTTACATCTATCAAAACTTATTGTTGAATTTATCTTAATGCTGCCAACGTTTTCAAGTGTACAAAATTTCCCCCCATATATTCAACAAACATTTTCCAATCTTCTCTAAATGTATGTTCTTCTCTTATTCTATATGTTAAGTCCGCAAGCTGTGCATATTCCATCAGTTTAAGTTGCCATTCTTCTTTAGCTGGGACCTCGCTCATTTTCCCAACTTCTGTTTGCTTTCCTGAAGCACCATGCTCTGTTTCCCTTGTGGCCTGCATCCATTTCTACAGAGTAGATTTCCACAGGCCAAGGGGAAAGTGCAGACAAAAACTTGCTCCCATTTTTGCCATTGCAGGAGGGAAAAAAAAGGTCTCTTTCAAAATGCTCCTTTAGAAATACTTCCCTTGGATCTACGGAAGCTGTCCAATCAAAGTTCTTAAGGCAAATTTTCTCTGTACCACCCTGTGCCCCAAACGCATCATTGCGCCTAGAGGCTAATCTTCCCTTGGTAGAATCCGGCGTAGGACACTTAACTATTGGCTTCACCTAAACTCAAATGCCCCCGGTCTAATATCCCCAGTACTGCAAGATTGTCACAAGAGCGCCTGGACTAAAATTGTCTATCAAAAACTTCACTCTTGTGGTTTATCACCACAACAGCTACTCACTTTGGGTTTTAGTAAAACAAACAGCCTACTTTGTCAGTGCCTAAATGATATCTCGGCCAATAAAGCGAGATGAGCGCCACAACCCCAGAGTCGGCCATGACTGGACCTAATGGTCAGGGGCCCTTTTACCTTTTTTAATTATATTGAGCGTCAGAACAACTTGGCCACAATAAGGAAATTTTGCCCATGGTATGACTATTTTCCACCTTCCCATTTCGACTCTCTGGCACCCTATCTGTATAACCTAGCAATTCTAAAACACAGATGCGCTTTTAGTCTTGCAAGATTGAATGCATTGCCCTTGGCTGTACTTGAGGGGCGATTCCAACAGATTCCACATGAAAAATGCTTATGTCCCTGTGGAGACGGCAGTACTGAATCGGTGGCGCATGCCCTTCTGGCTTGCACTCTTTATAAAGCCTTGAGGAATGAGATTATCACCCCTCTTTTATTCTCCATTCCGGGTTGCCCAACCACTGCCACAGTGTCCTTTCTCTTGGCAGATCAAGATGAGCAGGTGACAGCAAAGGTTGCAAGGTTTTTAGCCCGGGTAATTAGAATAAGATCCTCTATTTGACTACTGATTCAAAACCCTAAAATGTATTTTATAGAACTGCCTTTTTATTTCTATTCTTTGTATATTGTATTGTTGCTTTATTGCTCTGGCTGATGACTGACGCAAATAAAGATTCATTCATTCATTCATTCATTCCTGGTGTTGCATCAGTTATATGGTCAGCCAGGGGAGAATGGTCATATTAGTTAGATTGTCAGGCAACAACTGAAGACACTCAGGCTTGATCCCTGCTCGAAATGAAATGTTCACTGGGTGGCCTGGTCCCAGTCAACTTCCCTCAGCCCACCCTACCTTGCAGGGTTGTTAAGAAGATAAAAGGGGGCATGTATGCCGCCTCGAGCATCCAAGAAGAAAGAAACAGAATCCTAGAATGTAAGAGTTGGAAGGGACCCTGACGGTCATCCAGTCCAACCCCCTGCAATGCAGGAATCATAGAATCATAGAGTTGGAAGAGACCACAAGGGCCATCGAGTCCAACCCCCTGCCAAGCAGGAAACACCATCAGAGCACTCCTGACATATGGTTGTCAAGCCTCTGCTTAAAGACCTCCAAAGAAGGAGACTCCACCACACTCCTTGGCAGCAAATTCCACTGTCGAACAGCTCTTACTGTCAGGAAGTTCTTCCTAATGTTTAGGTGGAATCTTCTTTCTTGTAGTTTGGATCCATTGCTCCGTGTCCGCTTCTCTGGAGCAGCAGAAAACAACCTTTTCCCCTCCTCTATGTGACATCCTTTTATATATTTGAACATGGCTATCATATCACCCCTCAACCTCCTCTTCTCCAGGCTAAACATGCCCAGCTCCCTTAGCTGTTCCTCATAAGGCATCGTTTCCAGGCCTTTGACCATTTTGGTTGCCCTCCTCTGGACATGTTCCAGTTTGTCAGTGTCCTTCTTAAACTGTGGTGCCCAGAACTGGACACAGTACTCCAGGTGAGGTCTGACCAGAGCAGAATACAGTGGCACTATTACTTCCCTTGATCTAGATGCTATA